AGGAAAAAAACTACATATATTTAAAAACTTATAGAAATAAATAAGAAGAATTTACTATTATTATACTCAGATAATTTAAAAAGTGAACAAGAATATTTAAAAGCTAGTATAAAACTTAAATATTCTGAATTAGTTTCAGAATATGAGATATTTATATAGAATTTAAAAAAAAGTATGAAGTTTTTAATACTAAATTATTTGTAATTTAAATGACTTTTATATTAGCTTATAAAATAATCCCTTAAAAAGTAAATATTAATAATATTTAAATATTTCTAGATAGTCAAATAATATTAAAATAATTTCAAAAATTTAAAATTTAAAATAATCAGATATATTTTAAATTAATTCAAAGAATAATAGAAAGAATTAAAATTAAAATTAAAAATATTTAGATTTATTTATCTTAGATATCTATTTATATAAATATTTTAAAAAATAAAAAAGTAGATTTAGTAGTAAAGATTGAAACTAAAACTTAAAAAGTAACTTAAAGAATTATATCCTTATCATATATTAAAAGAAAGATTAAAGAATCATATCTTGATAAATGAATAAAAATCTAAAAAAAAAAGTACTTAGTATATAAGATATAAAATGAAATCAAAGTAGAATCTACATCAATAAAATATAGAAAGAAAATATTTTTATTTTTAATATAATTAAAACTTGAATATAACTATTTTAAATTATATATAAGAAGATTGAAAGATTTTTTAAAATTTAATAAGTATGATTTCTATGATATAGTTAAAAGTTCAAATTATATACTAATAAATTGCTTATTAAACAATTAGATATAAAAGAAATGAAATAAAAAACATTTAATTAATTAAATACAATCTTTTTATTTAATATTAAATTAAAAAGAAAGTTTTTAATTAAGTTTATAGAGAAAATAAAAATTATCTCTAAAGAATAAAATTTAATATTAAATAAATTTGATATTTAATCTATAAAAAAGCTGAGAATATTTTTAAGAATATTTTTATTAAGATTTTTTTATATTAAGTTTATTATTTTTTATTTTATTTTTATTTTATTTTTATTTAAGTTGAAAAAAAGACTGGATTAAAATTGAAACTATAAATATATCTTTTGTTAAAAGATTATTAAATACTATATTATTTTAAGATAAAACTCTATTAGTACATAGATTGATTACTATTTATTAATTAAATTAATAAAATAGTTAAATTCTAGTTTTAACTAGATAGATATCATAGTTACTAAATACATCTTAAATAAAGAATAATAATAATAAAATAATAATAATATCTTAAGAGATACAATTGCTAAGTATGAGATTCTGTCAAAAGATATATATAACTTTGATAAGACTGAATTTGCTATGAGAGTTTGTACCACTACTAAGGTTATTACTAGTAGAAAGTGCTACAGCAGAGCAAAGCTTTGATCAAATCATCAAAATCTGTAAATATGAGATGGTCAGTATCACTATTATGAAAAAGTAATACTAGGATATATTCAATATGAATGAGATAAAAAAGCAAAAATGCAAGAGATTTAGACACCAAATTCAACAAGAAGTAGGAGATTTAACTAGTGAAGAAGTTCAAAGTCTTCTAGCCTCACCTGCACCACCTGCGGAGCCTGCAGCACCTGTTGAACAGCCAGTTATTCAATCCTATAGGTCCTTACTACCTGTGCCTGCTCCATACTGACAAGCTCCACAATGCTGCAGCAATTGTAATAATCTCAGACATACAAGATTAAGATGTTCTCAACCTCATGTAATTTAATTTAATTTAATTGAGTGTTGTAGTGTTGAGATAATTTGAATTAAAATCTAATAAGTTGAGCTCTGGTGGTTTTGGTGTTGCGCTCGCTTGGGAAATACGTTACTCAACAATCAAGATGACTAACCTCATTATGGTTTTAACTATGTCTTAGAGGACCGTTATCAACCTTGTTGCATTGTGTGACTCTAAGCGAGCTAGCTACTAATCGTGCCCCGCGCACCCACATCTGATGTGGGTGCGCCACAGCGTAATGATAAAAACAGCATAACAATAAAAATATGGATAATTAGAACTTCAAAACTTAATATCTCATCACCACACTGCTAATCTATGATAATTAATTTATCTATATCATCTGTAGTAGCTGTATTATTCGCGAGATGTTCATATATATCATTAACCTCTTGTTGAGTTGAATCTGTGATATTTTTCTTCAAAGCTCTCTTAACATGTTTGACTTTCTTATAATGTTCTTTTTCTGCTTCCTTCTCTTTACATTGTGCAATCTTTCTATTTGCATCTCTGACAGTGAGTATACCTCCTACTTGAACCTGCTGATGTGTATTTTTAGTGCTGCAGTGTTTGATTGCAAGATAGTAACTCTCAATCTCACACTCTCTTATAGCATTGAGTTTTGTCTGAACAAGACAGCCTTGAAAAATCTTGTTCAATCAATTGCTCAAATGAGGTGATTTGAAATCAAGTATATTTTTCATATCTTGCATTGTCTTCTTTGTCACTTAAATATGATATTGTAGTTTTTCAATTGTCTTGAGTGAGAATAGCTGTGATAAAGCAGTATCTGAATGACTTGATTGCAGTGAAAAGAAGTCTTCTTCATATATTTGTAACTTAAAGTAGTCAGAGATCTTTAAATCTAGCTTAAGCAGTATAGATTGCAGATTGAATGAAACAATATCACAGTCTGCAAAGTCAGTCTAAATAATAAAAAATTGAAAAGTCTTTTTACAGACATCAATTAGATTCTGTAGAAATTGATATTTTTCATACTACTTATATCTATATCACACAGTTTGATTAACTGTTTTTGAATGATAGTGCTTATATTGCTGAAAAGATACATCATCTAAAGATTATAGTATATGAGTTAAATGTGAAGAAAATTCATATAGAATAATCTTGTGAAGATCACAGTATTGTAGAAATTCTTCAGTAAGATGAGATTCATGATTGTCAAGAAGTAGTAATCAATGACTGCTTTACTGATATTTTTTAAAGATCTCATTAAAGTGCTGAATTCATGCAAAGCTAATCTCATCATTGATATAGTCAGTATCTGATGTCACAATTGTATATTCATCTGGTAGATTACTTTGTATATATCAATCTTCAAGTTGAGTTTTGAATTTTATGATGATGAAGAGATTCAATATCTCATCATCTGCTGAAACATACTCAATCACAGTGATCAATTCTTGAGAATATAATGAAGTTATAACTAAATTAAAGTCTTTAAAAGTAGTAATAACTTATTCTCCATGTCTTTGACCCTCTTGAAAGCCAATCTCATTGAAGTTATAGATATTGCAGGTTTGAAATGTGTACTTTTGAAGTAAGATTTTCAAATAGTCAAATCATATCTTGATGTAGCTAATATTCTCAACAGCAATTCTCTTCAGATTCATTGTCTTCTGCTTAACTCTTTTATACTCATTCAAGCTTTGTATATATTGATAGGTTCACATCTTGCTAATCACAGATGAGGAGGTTGAAGAATCAGTATGATGATATTTGAAAATGAGATTCATATTATCTTGAATCTACTCTGCAGTCAGTGGACAATTATTTCTGTCCATATGAGCTATTCACTCTTTTAATGTGTCCTCCTGGCTCTTGCTAAGCTTCTTGTTCAGTGCAGTCTTTGCATTGTATGTTTTTCTTTCATTGATTCTTACTTAAAGATATTGATAAGAAATATTGAATTTGCATGTTAAAGATAGACTTTTCTGTTTTCAATTGTCATTATAGACTTCAATGGCACTCTGAATACATTTTTCAAGATCATCTATCTTATTGGTCATGGTGGTGGTGATATATTAATATTTGAAGATTGATTAATGAAGAAGTTGATATTTTTATCATTACACTGTTTTTATCATTACACTGTGGCGCACCCACATCAGGTGTGGGTGGCACGATTACTAATTAATAAATACATAGGTGCACGTGACCTCGGGTAGCCGGGGAATCCTCTAACATTATGCTTACTTTTATATTGCCGAATAACTATCTAGAAAGACAGATATTTTGAGATATCTAGGCAAACGGCAATCAGGACTTTCGAGGCCAAGAAGGTGTGCCATTAAATTAAGAAATTTGAAATAAATGTCTAATAAAATTAGCTCACACTGTCACGGTAATCTAATCTTTAAGAGACACACGACAAATGAAACATTAAATGGCAAATGGCACGCAACAAGTAAGTAATTCTAGTACAATTAGATATTTGAGCTTACCAGTCCATAGCTCTTCTATTCCCGGGCCCCGTACTTATTTACCCTGAGCCAGCCTTTCACATCTGAGGAACAGACTTTAACTTTAACGACCTTTCTGCTATCCTTTTCAAGAACAAAAACCCCGCCATACATTACCCAATCTGCAGTCTGCCATGACGAGCAGACCTCTGACCTCCACAAAAAGCACCCCTGGAGAGGGAAGCTTCGACATTCTCTTGTCCTCGTGCGGCACCATGTCAATTTTGATACGCTAGTGCTCTTTGAGGAGTTTCTTCTTGGGCTTTTTATCCTTGAATGAGAGATTCGAGTAGACATTTTTCTTCATTTGCAGGTAATGGGACTTATATTCGGACAAGTGTTGTTTGGGAGGTTTAAAAACATGGTTTAAAATTTCAGCCGGAAAAACCTTCAATATCATTTAGTTACCCTACAATGAATAAAAATGATTCAAGGATTTAGGAAACATTATCATAGCCCAACCGCAAGCACAGATAATCATTGTTGCTGAATCAGTTAGAAGTTAATATTGACTTACGCTATAGTTCATACACAGGAAGGTCTCCAAACATTCCCATGCCATTTCTCTATTTCCCCCCAGAATTTCTTTTTCAAAACAAAGAGAGAAAAGAGGTAAAACGTATGCAAAAAAAAAAAAAAAAAAAAAAAAAAAAAAAAAGAGAGAGAGAGAGAGAGAGAAAAGAAAGAAATTTTGATTAATATTAGGATCCAGCCTATGCCATCCACCTACAACTAAGCCCTTTTAATCCCAATGCCGCCTCAATACTGGCCTGGCCGGATCCCAAGGACCCGCTACCACATTCTTATATTTTTGTAAACTAATCAACCACCAACTACAGCCACCCATTACCAACGCAGTCGACAACCCCCCGATAATCGCCCCTAATATCGCAGACATATACCCACCGCGCATTGTAATCCCCACCGCTGCACCGGCAAAAACCACCAGCAAACCCGTAAGCAGCACATGGCCCCCCCAGAATGTGGCACGCAGATGACGACGGAAAACGGGGAACAGGCCAAACACCTCAATGGAGAAAAGCGTAAGGCTGAAAACGTGGGTGGTAGATTTCAAACGCGACGCGAGCACTGTGGATGCCATTACGGCAGCGTTTGTGGACAGTGAGGCCGGGAATTTCGCAGCGGTGGCGCCGGTTTCGCTACTAGCGCCCGTTCCGCTGCCGCTGCCGTTACTACTATAGTCGAAGAAGAAGATATTGATGACCATGAGCCAGCAGCTCATGGCCCAGATGGAGTCGCTGGTTGTGGACTTTGTGAGGGATTTGAGGATTGGGCTAAGGCCAAGGAGGGCACAGAATATTAGGAGGGCGGACTTGGCCGTGGACAGGCGCTGGCGGTTGCGCGGGGAGAGAAGGAAGGTGGGGATAGGGTTGGTAGGCGGCTGGTGGTTGGTAGGTAGAGGGTAGGAGGGGAAATGGATCGAGCCGTTGCCGTGGCAGTTTGGTGACACGGGAGAGGATGAAGCTGGGGATTGAGGGGAGTTTGCGGAATGGATAGAGGCCGTGGATGTGGTGTGAGGGTTGATGCTGAAAGTGCTCAGGCCTATGCTCCGGCCTATGCTCCGGCGGCGCGGTTTTTGGCAGTCGAGGTTTGACGTGGATAACCGCAAACCAAGGCCTGGCATTTTATATTCCTTATGGCTCCCATTTTGATTCGATGTTTTGAGAGAGCTCGTGGAAGAGCCGGAGCTTGACCCTGCATACCCTGTCTCTGCCTCTCCAATAAACACTAATCGGGCTTCTTCTTCCTGCTCTTTCCCTACCCAGAAATCCCACAGCACCCATCCGAGAATAGTGCATATACTCCCCCATCCCACAACCGACACAGGACTGATGCGTTCCTGGAAAATCCCGGTGAAGCAACAGGCGAATATGACAACCGAACACACATGCTGTACAATGACGGTGGAATCCGCTACCAATGGCCAAAAGTCATACGGTCGAAGACGTGGATTACGTTGTAGATGGTCAAGAAATGTTTCTGTATCGGTGTAATTATCCGGATCTAGAAGGCAAACGGGCACGAGGGGAGCGGTTAGATTCTGACCTTGGTCCTATCCACAACGTGGAGAGGAGTACACGCGTAGAAAATAACGTACAAGATTGCTTAACCCACAACAACTTCTTCCACGCGCCCTTGGGTCTTCTCCGGCTTGATCCAAGCCTTCTCTTCGAATCTCCGGTCCATTTCGGTTCAGTCCCCGGCACTGCAGGCGGTGGTCTCAGCGCTGCAACAGCCGCTGGCAGACGTAGGCTGGCAGCATGGTTGTTTGCGGATACGGAACGGAGCCGGGGTGGAGAAAGGGTGTAGTTGGAATCTTCAGGCGCAAGCCGGTTTGGGTCCGGAGGAGGGCGTTGGGATGGAGGTGGTTTTAGACCGGCACGATTGGGATGAGTTTCAACGGGGACGGGAGGGGGGATCGGAGCTAGGGAATGCCCTGGTGCGCCTGCGCTAGCTGTTGCTCCTCTTACCGCTGACGATGTAGAGTGCGGTGGTGGGATGGCGGATGTTGGTGCTATCGGACGTGGAGAAGGAGACACAGACGAAGGATAAGAGGGGCTAGCGGGGCTTTCGGGAGCCATGTGAGGCATCCGTAATCATTGTAGGGCCATAGTCACTTGAGACATCTGACGCGAGATGGAATTGAAGCTCTTAATGGCCAGAAGAGAAGAGCTGTTCTTTTTCTTCCAAAGTTGTTCCTTTGAAGTGAGTTGAACAGCGGAGATTAATCAGCGATGACTAACCGAAATCCCAAGACGCAAATTCACATGAACGTTGGTGTAAAAATCTTAGCCACAAAAAGTAGTCATACGTCACATATCCCAACAACCACATTTCCATATCCTTAACTAACCCTAATCCTAACCCTGGTGTTGAGGGCGAGGTTGAATAGAGATGTATTTGTGGTTGTAGGGGCAGAGGGTGAAGACTGTTTGATCTTGGTTTTTGGAAAAGTGAACCCAGCCTTTATATCATGTAGACTTTTTTGAAATCACATTCAACTGTAACCCTCATGGATACATGCTTATTTATTTTCACATCAGTGGAATTTCGTTGCAATCCTCAACAGAAAGAACAGTTAAGAAAACTTCTATCCAATAAATCAATGCAGTTCATGGTTAAAAACAGTACATATGTGTGGATTCACTCCAAACAACAAAAGGAACAACAAAGCCCATGGAACATGCAGAACACATTAGAAAAAAAGTTTAAAGGTATAATGCATGATTAATCAACATAATAATTGTGCAGCAAGGAGAGTTGGAAGGATTCACCAGAATTGGATGGTGTTGATGTAGGAAGAGTCCAGGGGAAGGAGAACTTCAAGCTCTGTGTTGCAGCGTGTATATTTATATAGCAAGAAAGGACAAGACAATACCAAAACATTAAACTCGCTGGGAACTTGGTTGGGTTCAGGTTACCACTCTACCTGCTCGTTCTTTTCTAGCAAAGCGTCTCAAATCCTCTCTGAATTTGGAATATCGAGCAGCAGCGGCTTCCTCGATACTCCTTCTACGGCCCCAGGTTTCGGGTTGTCTTTTGAGGAATGCGCCGACAGCGCCCAAGTAGCCTTCATGCCGTAAGAAATACGCCTGCTTTTCTCCGTTGGACCAGAATCTAATAGCGTAGGAGAGAGTGTTCATCGTCTGGCGGTGTCCACGAATAAAGGATCCTCCAAAGTAGATGTGCTTTATTTTGTGTTTTTCGGATTGTAGGTAGGCGATTTGGCCAATGTTGTTACTATGTGGAATATCAAATCAGATTACAAGCCTAATGACGGAAGGGAGCAGCAGGTGGGAAGAATGCATACCTGATTGCGTATAAAAGGCTCCTACTCATATCTTCATGACTGAACTGAGAAGGGTCTGAATCCGAATCACTGTCGTGGTGTGCCATCCCTCCTCTATCCTCAGCATGACGCTCGGCGAGCCGCTTCATCCTGAACACTTTTCCAAAAGTGCTAGCAATGGTAGTAGCCTTCAATCCAATCTTGCCATAGTCGGTGCCGTAGATATCTCCAACGAGCATGTCGACACCGCTGTTGTCGCCTCGATCCGCCATGGCTAGCATTTCATCGAAAGTCCGCACGCCAGTCAACAGAGACATTATGCCCCAAAAGGTACCACCTCCTAGAGAGGTGCCTCCAACACGCTGGAACTGTCTTGGTCCGGATACCTTGACCATCGACACCCCCGAGCCTATATTTACAAGTAGATACGGGTAGACGTCCGGTCGAGGCTCCAAGAACTCGGTTGGAAGGGTTTCGCTGTAGCTGAACACTTCGTTCGGGATTTCGGTGATAAACCAGTCCAGACCTAATGAAGGCGCCATGGTTAGAATCAATCCGTACCAGAGGGTCAATGTATTCATAGGCTGGTAATGGGAGGGAAAAAAAGAAGGGGGGGGGCTTACCGATTATTAGACATTCCATCTCGTCCTCTCGAAGCACATTGATGCCAAGTTCTTCTTTCATATGGTCGTAGTATTTAAACGCCCCACCTCCAGTGGCCATGACACACAGCTCACTAGGATCTGTAGCATAATTCTTCTCGTGAGATTCTTTCAGTTTCTTTATAAATTCGATGCAGAGGTCAATCCGATCAGTTTCGAAATTAATGAAATTGAGGCGTCCTCCGTTGTCTGGTGAATCAATTTCCTTGGAGAAGTAAACCAGCTTTGCCAGCGAGCCTCCGATCTGCGAGAGAGGTCCGGAGTTAGTCTCTGTACAGGATGAACATTATTTCCGTAAAAGGGGTGTCTAATTTCTTCAGTTTTCTTTTGGATTTCCCTTCCTTCTTTCTGGGTGTTGACGGGCTTATAATGCGGGGAGAGAGGGAGGGGAGAATATTATAACATACATCAACCGCAACATGGCTGACGACGCCAGTCTGATGGGGCAGACGGATGTCCTTCCGTTCATAGTAGACACCATCCTTTGCCACGCCATTATTCGGAGAAGACCCCAATTCCTCCTCCTCGTTGACAATGAAAGCGCCCTTAGCATTGATTTTCACGGAGCCAGGGTTCGTGATCGCCTCCTCGATGCATCCTGCGAAACCGCGATCCTCAGAGTACGACGTGCGATGCCTGAGCTGCGGGGCGGGAGCCAGCTCAGTGTGGGATCTTTTGTCGGGATACATGGCGGCTCAAAAGCAGGAGGAAAAGCGATGGATGGTAGTATTGGGCGGTCATTATCCAGAGATCTTTCGTCGGGGCTGGTGGTTGCGGATCGTTTAGTTGGTTGGTTGGTTGGTTGGGTTGGGTTGGAAGATTCGAGTGTGGTTTCGCCGTGCCCACGCTTACGGCGTATATCTCCTTCTGGCCGGGTGTCCATTGAATCGCGCCGAGGAAATCGGAAGTGGAGGAGGGATTGGAGGCCGAGGAAACGACGTCTGGGACTCGGGACGGGACGGGACCGATTTGCGGCGACGCTGCACACATCGAGGAATGCAGGTTTCTGCGGAGAGATATTTATGTTGAGATTTTGGCTGAACAACCCGTGGGTGGTCTCTTGCGTGCGACACATATAACTACTACTTACTCATCCTGAGCTCCTCATTGGGCAACGGGCCAGAAATAATAAGTCAGCCACGAGCTTCAACTATGGATTGGTTAACTAGCTACATTATTGACTGATAAAAAAAAAAATATCAGGTATTGGTGTCTATGGTTAATTCAACAGCAGCAGGTATAACAAATGTTTTTGAAATTGTACAGTGCCACGGTACTTTTTCAATGCTCCGAAAACTATGCCAACATGAAGAAAAAATTCTACAGGGCCCTGGAGTTGAATAACTAGCTGGAGATGTATCCATTATCTGTATCTATATCGCGGATGTATGCATAACACGTACATTTCCTGATATAAATGTGCCGCTATTTGCTTAGTTACTGTGGCTGGTCTCAATCTGCTCCTCTGTCGTTTCTCAGAACAAATCCCCCCCGGGGGCTGATATTCGAAATGATCCCCCTCTTGTGTTCTTCTGCTTGTTGTGTACCTCGCACTTGGCTTTTTGTTTTGATATCTCCCCTCCATCGCGGCTGCTTTCCCCTCCGCCAACTGAGTAACACGCGACTGCAGTTAGATGTCTCCTGCAAACGGATGATTTGATGGCGTTTACAAAGAAACTGTTGCAGGTGTGCCAGAGGATCAACCATGGATGGAATTTGGTGCATCCTATGGCATATGAATATAAATCATATAATTCTCAACAACAATCACAACAAACAACAACAGGGCTCATCCATGCTGTCTCTGCTATACCCAAAGGACCTTCTGGCATATCCCCTTTTAGATGCTTTGCAAGGAGCTGCAGAACTCGACATACCTTTCTGAGAGCTCTTCTAGACCGCTTGCCTCTCACGTATTTTTATCTATCTAAATCTCCCGTTGTTGGTTTATTGCTCTCCAAGTATCATTCTCGGACTCTCAAGGTTATCTCTCCCGTCATTAGAAGATGAAATCTCTGTGCCTTCTGTTTCTAGTCTGCTGGGTCAACGCACACATCCTTTTCGACCACCCCCCTCTTAAATGTGATCCAATTTTGCCGGCGTTTCAAGGATGCTTCCGTGGACAGTATTGCTCGCCGCGCGGAATGTGAGTATCCTATTTTGGATCCTGGGCCTCATTTGCTACAGCTGTAGTTGCTTATTATTGCTCTCCCAGATGCGAGGTTGATCACCGCCACACCACAGATGGACCAGACGGACCACCAGTATCAACAGGATCAACAGTATCAACAGTATCAACAGTATCAACAGTTCGAAAATCTCCTTCGCCGACACAAGAGACTGTGACTGCGACTCTACCCCTGACAGCTGACCCGGTGGGGCCAATGCGACGAGAGGTCGAAGATGATGTCTGCTACTCCGAGGGTGGCCCTGTTGACGCTACAGCAAACCGGTTAACAAGGCATGCCAATGTTCTTGAACAATCTCGGTATGTTTTCTCGATCCTATATTTTTGGAGCCAGAAACTTTCGTGAGATCCACACCTGTGGATGTTGCATTGCTTTTCTCCCGCATTGAGGGAAGAGATATTTGAAGAAGAGCCATGAAACGCAGGACAGGATATCGATCGCAAATCGGATCTCCCTGTGTAACTGTGCTTAAACCAACTAACAAGCGATATAAAGTTCGTCTAAGATGGAAGTTATGCACAACAGGGCCATATCTGGCGCTAATACCCACGCTTTGATCGAGTCTCTCGAAGGTGTGAAGCCACATCCAAAGCTGCAGAACAGCAAGGCCCGTGAGAATAAACCGAGGCAAGAGGAGATAGGAGCAAAGCCCATGGAACTCAAGCAAACCGCTGATGGTCTCTGTGGGCCAAAAAATGGTAATACAATTTGCGGAGCCTGGCCTGGAGGGAGCTGTTGTTCCCCATATGGAGTAAGTTCTTTTATGGCAGAGGTCTTGATGGCTGAAATTCGGCTGACACTCTTTAAGTTCTGTGGAAGCTCCTCGTCCCATTGTGGTCCTGGTTGTCAGTCAGGGGACTGTGAGCAACAGAACCTTTTCGAAACGCTTAGTCCCATTACATATCAGCCAGGCACAGTACGCGGGAACTTTCGACTGGTTGGTCAGTCTGGGGTTCCTGCAATGTCCGCAGCTCTTATGAGTAACGGGCGAGTGGTTTTCGTCGACAAGGTCGAAAATTATACACAGCTGGTGCTACCCAATGGCCAGTATGCATATTCGTCTGAATATGACCCAGAAACAAACCAGGTGGTGCCTCTAAGTTATAAGGTTAGGACAACAGAGGGATCTGCTATTCCCATTCTTCCAGCGCTAACATGATAACAGACAAACGCCTTTTGCTCTGGTGGAGCATTTCTGATGGACGGGCGGCTGGTTAACATTGGTGGGAACTCGCCGTTGGCAATGGATCTTACGGTTGGTGACGGGTTCCGAGCAATTCGATACCTAACACGACCGCTGGACAGTAACATGATGGATGGAGCCTCATGGGAGGAGCCTGGCAACCAGCTTTCGACGAACAGATGGTATGCAAGTGCTCAGATTCTTCGTGACGGCTCGCTCTTTGTTGCTTCCGGTAGTCTCAATGGACTCAACCCATCCGTAATAGCAAATAACAACCCGACGTACGAATCACTCGATAAGAATGGGGTTTCTGATGGTAAAAGCGTCATATTTCCTATCCTCGAGCGAAACCAACCTTATTTCATGTACCCATTTCTCCATCTTTTAAAGGATGGCACTGTCTTCGTGTTTGTGTCGCGGTCGGCAGAGATTTTCGATGCATTTGCTCGAAAGACAGTTAAAACACTGCCTGACTTGCCAGGTGATTACCGTACGTATCCAAACACCGGAGGAAGTGTTCTTCTTCCTCTTAGCGCCAAAAATGGATGGGAACCTGAAGTTGTAATTTGCGGTGGAGGAGCGTTTGTCGAGATAGACAGCCCAACCGATCCAAGTTGTGGACGTATTAAACCCCTATCGCCAGATCCAGAGTGGGAGATGGAACTGATGCCCGCAGGTAGAGTAATGGTGGAAGGAATGATGCTTCCTGATGGCATGATACTTTGGGTTAATGGCTGCAACCGTGGTTCGCAAGGATTTGGCATCGCCAAAGACCCAACTTTTGATGCCTGGGTCTACGACCCAGAAGCTCCTTCAGGCCATCGGTGGGGTATCGGTGGAAAGTCTGAAATCCCACGGATGTACCACTCTGTTGCACTTCTTTTGCTGGATGGCTCGGTTATGATTGCGGGATCAAACCCCGTGGAACAACCTATTCTGGTAGCCAACCCGGACATTGAGGAGCAAGCATACGTGACCGAGTTCCGAGTAGAGATATACACGCCACACTATCTTCTGGAAGAAAAGGGTAAAAATCGGCCATCTGGTGTCGTATTGTCTGATAAGCGTCTACCAGCAAATGGCAAACAGTTCACGGTAGAATTCAGGGCCAATGGGGAAGCTGAAGATGTGCGTGTTGTGCTCTATCACGGCGGGTTCGTAACCCACTCTTTGCATATGGGACATCGGATGTTATATCTGGAATACGAAGGATTTCGACCTGGTCGCAAGAAGCAGAGAATTCAGGCTAAGATGCCTCCGGATAGCAACATTGCGCCGCCTGGGCCGTACGTGGTGTATATCGTGGTTGATGGGATCCCGAGTGTTGGGCAGTTTGTTATGGTCGAAGTTGATAAGTGAAGAATTTGGTGCTTGGGGTTCTTTTCTCTTTCCTTCGTTCTTTTATCCACTATTCTCCTTTGTTTCTTTTCATACTCGCTCCTTCATACTTTGTATTCTTTCTGGAGAGATTTGGCGTTGGATGTCGGGCCGCATCTTGTTGGCATCATTCTCCGGTAGCTCTGCACGGCTCTACACCTCTTAGTTTATGGTAGACTCGATTACTGAATTGAGAATGGAACAACTGGAATGCTATCATGTCCGGACTTCCCACTCATTACTATGGCGATCAGGTTTCTATCTTGAACTTTGAGATTCCCGGATGTAAAGGACCTCCGTTCCTTGTTGACTTTGTTAACTAAAGTTAAAAAGTTGGCCGGAGAATCAATAATCCGACCATAACTAACTACCACGAGGATTCTCATCCTTCAACCTTTGAATACTTTCAACGAATCGAACCACATAACTATCAGGTATATGTCACTGAAGAAACGATTTGCCGGGCGGGGTTATACATCCAATGGACCCATTTCACAAGCTTTTCAAAATCCTAGGCTGATGATGGAGTTTACTGGGTTAACTACCCATTTGAGATAGTTAACGTAAACCTCCTGACCAGCATTTAATCTTTCTTTTTTCTTTTTTCTTTCTTTTTTTTCTGGCTGAATTTCGCTGTACTGGCTTCTATAGAGTCTTTAAGGATATCCTTCTGGTTTAATAATTTTACTCCCTTTTATCCCAGGGGATTCCGCGTGGCTTTGTCACCTGCCGCCGGAAATGCGGTGGGAGCGTGCTGTTCTTCTTAGCTGGGCACGTATCTTCTCAGATCCTCTGGGTCAGAAGAATCCGTCTTTTTACATTGCGCTTTGCAAAGAGAAATATCATGCTCCACACATTGCTACAGAAAGTATGAGATAGGTATATATTCTCATTTTTGTGATTGTTTTCTCTTTGGTTTCAAGCAGGTTTAAAGCATCTTTTGCTCTTCTGGAAGTGACCTCTGTACCTCTTTACACACATCATCATCACCATCATGAAATTCATGATGACATTATACCTGTGAAGCACAATCATACATCGCCTCCCTAGCAATGGACGAGGACCAGAAAACTTGCAACACATGAATGAGAACACTTCTCTCTTTCATCACAATCTTCTCCTCCTCAACCATTTCAATTCTATGATCTTCCTTCCGCTTTTCCTTGAAACTTGAGGGTTTTTCTTCTTGCTCTAGGTTCTTAGACGCACCCGTATCGCACCCTGCTCTCTTTGCTCTTTGACGTTTCTCTCCTCGTTCGCGTCAGCTCAAAGAAATCAACCTTCCCAGCTCTGAGAGTGAGTATATCCCCTGCTTGTGTCGCTGTGCAGGCTCCGGCTGGCCCGTCCTCCATACCCACTCTCACCGCTGGAGCTCCTGGACTGGCCGAGATAGGGCTCTATTGGGACTCACTGCCATTCCTCTTTCTGCTGTTTGGAAGTAGTATTCCACTATATACGGTGTTTTCTATGAGCTGCTTTGAACATATCTTGATATAAGTGCGGCTTGGCTTTACGCGGAGTTGAATGTGTTTAATTTATGGCTGGTAGAAAGTCTTATTCTACTGGAATTTGGCTCTCTAAAGGTTATTGGTGTGCCGCCACATTCCATCTCCATCTTTTAATCTTGTGTGACGATTCCCATTCATTAAAGGCGATGGTCTCCCACGCTGTTTCTGGTTGTTGCTTTTGTTCTGGTTGAACCCTTTCTTATATTCGCATCCATCACTCTCAACTGGGCCCCGCATACAAATACTTTAATATCCTTTCCAAACTTATACCGGTCTTGAACTCACAGCTGGCTAATCTCGCCAGAAGGTCAAGGTCAACATTCAAGATGTCGGAGAACGTGGCAAACTTTGGTGTTCAGGAAATGGCAGAGGCCATCCACCAGGCCGCAGGCCCTGGAGGCAACTGGAATGAAGAGGCTGTCGCTCTGGCTCGTGAAAAGGGATGGGCTCCTCCTCAGCATTGCGATTATGATGCTTACACTGGTGAGCCCAAAACCTGCTGACGGCGGTGATGCAACTGAGCTCCCGGGGTGGGCTTCCAGCGCGCAGCCAAATATGAGTGGAAGGAGGAATATGGCGATGTTGAACCTCGGAACGAAGAATTGGAGGAAATGCTGTTCCGGAATGAATTAATCAATCGTGTGGGAAATCACTTTGATCGGTATATACTATTAAAATGTTGGGAGTTGATTGTGCAAAGCTGATTGCTTCTAGACTCCGCGATATCAAGGTAACAGCTGAAACTACCAATCAGCCTGATCCTGTCAATAGTTTAAGTTCCCTCCCAACATGTGCAACCAATTTGCGTTCTAACAAGACGATGTAGTTTGATGATGCTGGACTGCATCCCGTCATGCGTGAAAACGTCAAGCTATGTGGCTATCATGTTCCCACCCCGATTCAAGCGTACTCCATCCCGGTCATTTTGACTGGAAATGATCTCATCGCTGTGGCTCAGACCGGTAAGTCAAATTCCTCATTAATCTATGAATTAAATATTGTTGATACAAAGAAGGGTCCGGGAAAACCGCTGCATTTCTGATTCCCGTCTTGTCGAAGCTAATGGGCAAAGCAAAGAAACTTGCGGCTCCCCGTCCCTATTTTGGCAACGGGTTCAACGAGGCTTTGGACTCTGTTCGTGCAGAGCCTCTGGTTCTGATTGTTGCTCCAACTCGTGAGTTATCCACGCAGATCTTCGACGAGGCCCGCCGCCTTGGCTACCGCTCTATGCTGCGTCCCTGTGTTGTTTATGGTGGTGCACCAGTCCGCGAACAATGTATTGAGCTTCAGAAGGGTTCCGACGGGTGGATATAATCACTCAGATGTCGGGACCTGAACAAACGGCATTTTTCGACAAGGCTGATTGCAGTCGTTTGCTGTTGTTTATGAATGCTAGACTCTTGTTTCTATCGAAGGCTTATCGCTACACAGCCAGCTCTAACGTTTTACGCATATCCATACCTTCCTTCACACTCACCGTCGCTCTTCCACAAACACCATCAACGCAGACAAGTTTCTTGCAATTCAACCCTCTCAGGAATGGAGGATAAGAGGGGAGGGAAAGGAAAAAAAAAAAAAATTGGGTACAATAAATGGGCAACCCTCGACAATTGCTCTCTCGATTTTTGTTTTCTTCCTTGTTGGACTTTGACGACTACCTACTGCCACTGTGGATTGGAAATGGAGAAGGAAAATCATTTAGGGGTATTGAATTTCTGATGTTGGTGTGAGGGTGAGGGGTGTGGCATTGTTTAAATGTTTATCTCCCTTATTTCTGTTCTTCCTGCTGTTTCCGGCTTTTATGGTTTCAACAACTTGCTGTTCGATTGAATGGGCTTCAGACAATGTTGATGGATGCGGTTGGAATGGGCTTGTTAAACTCTCCAAGAGGTTTGTTTTATTTTTGATTGCAATTTGAGTCTGATAACCAAGTCACCACCTCGGTAGGAAGGCTGAAGTTTAGGGAAATACATTTTTAACAACCTCAGTACCTGTTGAGTTATCCAGCGGAATTTAATTGTTCCAAAGTAGCCAGTGTTTGGGGGTTGTTATTTAGAGAAATTTTTCACCGCCGCTTCCTGGGAGAACACATCAAAAAAAAAAAAAAAAAACACATCACAAACACATCACAAACACATCACCCTCAATTAGCCAGACTATGTGACTTCCTACAACGGCTCAGGTGCTTGTTTCCAAGGCTACTCTGGCCTTTTTCGACTTGCCGCGATTAGGCTACCTCATCCATCACCACGTCTGAAACTGTTCTGCTCCCCTCTGATACGCCAGGGATGGCGATGGCCGTGGCCAGGGGACACAACTGTGGGAGCATCAGCAAACGGCGCCCCAAGGGCTCCTTCCAGCCATTGCTGTGCATCTGCGACTGAGGCGAGGACAGATTCTCCCTGCGCAGGAAGGAGGATCCTGTTGCTCGGTGCTTGTTCTCATGTTCTATCTTGTTGTAAACCTGCCTTTGTTTACACCCCTGGATTGTGACATGATGCCATATGGACAACTTTTTTTTCACTTCTTCATATTCTCGCCTACTTCTATGTCTCCTACGTTATCGATACACGTCTGTTTTGTACTCGTGTAGCGACTATTGAGGTGCTCCTGTTGGAGTTTATCCAGTTTCTGAAAAATTCACAGTGGGATTTGGTTGCCCTGGTGGTGAGAGAACGCACTTAAAAACTCGTACCCTCTGTTTTGTTTTTGGCCAGAACTGCAAATGTTCTCCATATTATATGAACGACAAGTGATATCTTCGTCGATAATGGGCTTCTCCAGTATCTTTGTTTTATTCTCCAGCAGATGCACTGTTCTCTCTCTTCTCCTGACAGCCGTAGCAGCCTCTACCGTCCCCCATGTTCCACATCCACGCGCACCTTCTGGACAGGATCCTGTCCTTGTCATCGACACGTTCAGAAACGGGGGCCGGAATGACCTAGATGCCTGGCATGGTATTGGTGAGGACATGCCGATAAAATGGGGAAACGGTTATGTGAAACTCTTTCCCATAAATGCTGAGCAGAACTTCCACACTCAGCTCTCAAGATCATGTTTCGACCTTACCCTTTACAAGGATATGTTTCTGCACATCGTCTGCGAAGGTGGAAGTCATTTTACCGTTTCCCTGAGTCAAAACAACGCCCAGTGTGACTCCTTAAAGAACCCCTATCCGGAAACGTGGGATGACGTGGAGGCGGGCAGGTACATGCAAGGCAATAACATCTACATCCCCATCTCACATTTCAATATCGACTATACACGTTCTCTTTCCGTGTCGTTTAAAGGTTTCTACATGCTGGAAAAATTGAAAGTGACAAAAGTGGAAATCACTGCGACGAAGCCGGATGGGCTCCCAATTCCGGAGAAGTTACCTACCGGAACTCTGTGGCAGCGATGCAAGCGCCCTAATTCCTTCGCGTTTGGCATTGACGATGGCTCCCCCGAATTGGGGCGGGAGATCATGGAAATTTTGACCTCGGAAGGGATCAATGCGACATTCTTCTCAGTAGGAAATGGTTTAGCGGTTCCTAGCTCCGGGTGGAGTGATATCTATAGAGAGATGGCTGCGAGGGGGCACCAGATTGCGCTGCATACATGGTCGCATCCTCCGTATGTCGTGTTCACTCTCGGGAGAATCAAATGGTCTGTGTGCCGCCTGCTGACGAGTAAACAGGATGGAAGAACTCAAAACGATCGAGGAGATCGATGAAGAAATTTCTAAAGGTCTCCAGATAATCAAGGAGGAGTTGGGATTTACAAGTAAGCCTAATTTAATTTCTTCCTACTTCTCCCTTCTCCTAAATTATTATCTCTACGAAATCAATCTCATCATATCATTTCTTAGCTCGATACTTCCGCCCGCCATATGGGATCATTGGAGCGCGTACCCGCCAACGACTTGCTGCACTCATCAAGGATCCTTATATCATTCACTGGAGTGTTGATATCCAAGACTGGTTGTGGGCTGGAACTCCCACTCCCGAAAAACAGGTTGAAGCTTTCCAGAATGACGTAGATAGAGGTGGTGACCTGGTGGTCATGCATTTCCTCAGTCAGGATACAGTAATGTACACAAGAGACGTGATACAAATTGCGAAGAATACAGGTAAACGGATTATGAGGGTCGACCAGTGTATGGAGGACCCGGAAGCGCCCCCGCTCGATTAGAAGAATATACTCCCACAGCTCTTGTAAAGTTCGTGAGTTCGAAAGGTCGGCGGAGGTGATCCCTTGATATTTTTTTTTTCTTTTTTCTTTTTCTTTCTTCTTCCATCGTTAATATCATGCTTCAAGTCACTTATTTCCCTGCGCTGGAAATTGATGGGATGGAGGTGTCTTGGATGTTTTTGAAATTGATTTTGCTTAAATTCTGTGTGACCAGAGGGTGTCAGTGTTGATATCCTTATTGCAGGAAGCACCTGCTGACACGAACAAACACTATTTGATTCACGCGTTTATGTATCCGGAGTTGAAGGTCTAGCCTATGATATTAGAAAAAATGGAGAAATAACAAGGTTGAAGCTGGGAATGGGACAGTCGTTGAGAGTCCGTCCTATTTGAAGAGAAGAGTAGTTGATCTCTAACAAAACCAGTTTGTATCTCAACCAACAAACATTAGTTATTGTTTTTCCGCAAGCAATTCCACACCACAAGAAACTTCAATAACCCCGTTTTATCAATCTCTCAAAATTGGGTTTAGAAACATGGATACCCAAAAGGCAATTGTACATAAATTTATCTAATACTATAATCAGAGAGAAAATCAAATTTTAACGGGCTGTATCTATCATAATAAATGTGTCTCAAAAGTCCAAAAAGTTCAAGATTCAAGAACCCCACATACAAATCTCAACAGCCAACTAGACCACATCCATCCGCTTCTTCCCCACACGTGCCGCCTCGATCATATCTGAATGCTTCTTCTTCAGCTCCGGAATGATCAAACTTTCAATCTCCACCATCTGATCCGGATGCGCTTGCGCTGCCACCGCCACACCACCCTCCTTTTTCTCCCCAAGCGCACCCGCAACAGGCCGCGTCTTTGAGCTCAGCGGCTTCGCCGTGGCTGCATGCGATGTCGCCGCCTTCGGAATCCGTATCCAGCGCTCAGAGATCTGCCCATTCGGCTTCCGACTGACAAACACAACCTCCCACTTGCGCGTCGAAAGCAAATTGCCAATGACAAGGTCGTGCGAGTAGCGTTGCAGCGCTGTCTCCGCCTTGGAAATCAGCAGCGATGGATCCGTTTCCAGCTTAAAGCTGACAATCATGCTTCCCTGCGGCGCCCAGCCGTCCACGAGGCTGAGGAGGAATTTCGGAACAGGATCCAGGTCGACTATCAGTTTCTTCCCGTGCGTCGGGGGCTGTGGGTCGTTGAAGCCTGTGTATATGTCGTCGACCGGGATGGTGTCGTGCCTGTGCGTCACGTGGGGCGGCGGCGGCGGCGTCGTCGTCGTCGTCGTCGTCTCGTTCGACGATTGGATCTTGTGCTCAACCATGCGATCGCGCGGGATGAAGAAGTCAGAGACTGCCGCGGCGAGGTAGAAAAGAGCATTGGAGCCCAGAGGACGCATGGCGATGGCTATCGAGCGGAGTTCGTACAGATATTCCGTCACCGTTACGTAGGGGATGAGCAGCAGGAGGTGGTTCTGCTTCGCGTACCGGTACTGGCGGAGCACTTTACGCATTTCATCCTGGTATTCCGGGCGGACGACGATGGCACCATGATCTGGATTGCTTTCATCATGTTCTGGAGATGACGACGGCGGGGCCTCCGCCTCGTCCATAAAATCTAAGAAACAGTTGGTTGAGTGGCTGTAATGCCGCGAGTACGGGAGAAGGCTAAATTGGCGGTGCAGGAATATCACTGCGTAATCTTCTTGGAGGAAATATTCAGCGGAAGTAGCTCCTCGTGTCCCTGCGGAAAAATTATCGATGAAGCGCACCGTTTGCGTTTCCAGTGGTACGGTGGTTCCACCGGATGTGACCAGGACCACACGTCTGTTTGCTGCTAAATGAAGCTTTACGAATTCTTCGGCTTGAGCGCGGTGAGCTTGGAGATCTCGTGGTGGCGGATTGGTTTTAAAGTAATCAGACTCTACCGCAGTTGGCGAGACGTCTTCCACCTTGGTGCTGGGTAGTGGCATTTTGGATGTTGTCGTCAGGGACAGAGATGCGCCGCTCGCCAAGAAGTCCCGCCGCCCTCTGTCTCTGGGAAGCTGGTGCTGGGGGCAGGGACACAAAGAGTTGTGACAGTCCAAATGAAAATAGTCCTATAGTATTTTCTCTCCCCTCTAAGTGGATGGTGTGATTCTATCTTTCTCTCAGATGCTACCACACCTTGAAGAAAGTCCTCTGATAAATCAAATCTGCGAGGACTTCCGATCGAGGTGGGGCACCCACCACGGTCAGATTGAGAGGTAACTATACAGCACACCACAAGTTCAATTCATCCTGCCCATGTCAACCAAACACGGACTGAATTTGTTTTCTAGTCTCGTCTTCTGCTGCAATACAAAAGAAGGGTCTTGACCCTCAGGTTGCGGAGGTCCGTTTTAACTTCTGATGTCTCCGGTTTGCGGAAGAAACAAAGTTTAGCCTCGGAAGTTCACACAGACCGAGAGAACCCATGACACAGTGACGTCATGGCGTTTTCAGCCAATTAACCGCATCACGTGATATATCTCATGTATAAAAGGTTTTAAAGAGTCCCAAGGGGTCCAAGATGCTGCCGCAGTTAACTATACACCCTTCAGCATCAATATTTGATACGATGCCTTTTAAATGTTCAAAACGACTTCAAATTTCTCTAACAGCAGTGTATTCTTTGTATTCGGCTCTTTGATTGGTTTACCTAAATTTATCACAAATATCTACTTTTGAGTGCCTGGCTGATGGTGCTCATCCGGCTTGCAACCCCGCCCCGCTGCATCGTGCTTAGGAGTGCTTCTTCAAGCGCAGACTGAGTTAAGCTGGCATCTAGACATTGTAGCGAAATTAGCAGCGTATTAAAGGAGATTAGATAAACGTTAACCGACTAGAAACCACATACCGTCCAAGTCACTGAAGCTGCTACCCATGCTTGGGGTTTCATCACTTCCCTCCTGACCACCTGTGCGTCGACGAGGACTAAGTCTGGATAGCTCTGCTGCCCTTCTCGGGCTGAGAGATGCAGGATGGCGGAGTGGTTGAGCTCGTTCATTCGCTGCAGTACCGCTGGCGAGTCCTGAGCTTCCCAAGCTGGTTGAAGAATCGATTGTAGAGGCCTTCGCTAATGGTAGTGTTGTTACTTCTGAATGCGTGTGTGGAAGCCGGGGCCTTTCTAGCTGCAGACGAAGAGTTGCACTCGGGTCGTGCCCAGCGTCTTCTGTAGAGGGCATATTACGCGTACTTAATGGCAAAAATGCCGGCGAGTCGTCTTCATCCTCGTCAACGCTATTGCTTCCCTTTTGAACGGAGAATCTACCAAATCTCTTGAATGGCGGTCCTCGTCTTGCTGCTTCTTCCTCTCCAGAGACAGAGGAGGAGGATGACGAAGACAGGCTAGCTGGCTCCGAGATTGCCTGGCCTAAGGGCGGTGATGTTAGTGGTGAGGAAACGGCGTTGGTCTCCTTTTTGAACTTTGGTTGAATACGAATGATGGAATCAGTACCGGGTGGTCGGGGTGATTGAGCTCTTGTACCTGCTGTGGGTAAATTTGGGCATGGCAGAACTGGGCAAGGTTAGCCAGGCACCAACACATCTTAGGAACGGACAACCTTTAGATTTGTTTGGAGTAGGAGGCGGCGCACTTGGATCCGGTTTCATTGCATGACCTTCCTTTGGGCATATCGATAATCTTGATGGTACTCTTGAATCTGCACATCACTTAGTACACAGTCGAAATAGACTCCTTATGGCTGAATAACATACTACTGCTTCCTCCTCGCTTCATCGGTTGGCCGCCAATGCCACCGCTCCCAGATATGGATGCGGGAGCAGGTGAGTTTGAAGCCGAATGAGGATTTCCAACTTTTTGTATTTGAGCCCGAACCTGAGAGAGCTGGCGGTCATAGAGCCATGCCGCTTGTTGAAGAAGGAATGGTAGTGTCACGTTAAAATGTTCCGCCCTATATACTATTAAAACTCCGCAATCAGATAGACACTGTGAATATACATACAATGCTTTCCCTAAAAATACAGTTACACAATTAGCGGAAATGAGCCAAGGGGTAAATAAACGCCCGGGAATTTCACTAACAGTCAATGTCATTGCCCTTTGAGGGTCGTGACAGAATATCCCACAACGCATGATCCTTGGCGACGCTCCATTCTACCTATCGAAGTGTCAGAAAAAAAATGTCCCAGCCAGTGCATTCTCAAATAGACATACTGGGGGAGGATCAACAAAGTCTCCTCTTGGAAATGGTAGTCTTATAAAAACAGTGAAATGTGGATCCATTTCTGCAGGCGGAGGGCCCATGATGGAAAGCTGGGTAAGCGCCGTAGCTCGGTGGCGATTTCGTGATAGAGAGCGGCTCGGCGAAAATAAAACAAAAGATACGATGGCAATTTTCCCTCAGCTATGCGATTATAAACAAAAGAGGTCAAGAGCTTTTATGGAATTTGAATATCGTTGTTAAACAACCACCCTCGGCGCTGAACTCTTTCGCAAAGGAATGACGGTGCAAGGTCGAATGTTTGGTGTGAGGAATCTCGGTCATTTGAGCTTGGGGTCAAATTAAGGTTAAACTTTCTGGAACTGCCCCTGTAGACCATGAGTAAAATATTACTAAGCAATCCCTGAATGGATGAAGGAAAACTTGGTTCCCACGGTTGTAAAATTATGACGTGAGGAGAATTGACGTTTTATTCATCCACATCAACTAAAGTGGATAGACACAGGAAGTCTTAGGTCTGGAGGTAGCCGCTAGGCGCCTCCCTGAAGAGGTTAATACCAGATTGAGCATTGGGATGTGAGCAATCAAAGTTGTCCAGGCAGTTCTCTGCTCCTAGAGCGATTTCCATGTTGAGGTGGATAGTGCCACTATATCGGCGCCTCTGTCGAACATATTAAGCAGAGTATCCGGGCTTGATATGTATTTAACAGAGACGATTATCTATTACCGATAGCGATTGACAAAATTAATCATGTATACCAATACTCCCTTTGAACGCCTTAATGGAAGGGATGTGCGAAGCACAATCACAGCGTCCAAGCTTATAGCCGAAGGAACGAGAGTATTGGAACGTTTTGCTCAGATAGATGGAGACCTAGTCCTTCTCGATGGGAAGATATATCAGTTACAGACAGAGAGGGTCATGTGAGACGCATTCATGGACAATCAAATTCCAGCGATGTGGCAACTCATTTCTCCCCCACGCACACCCGAGTCCAACCAGACGCCGCAGGACAAGAAATCAATTGATGAAATCCTTACATCAATTAATGCCGCAAGCTGACATTCTCTTCGTATCATATCGTAGTAGAGCAAATTCTCATCGATGATGATTCGAGGGCAGCAGCATAACGGGCAACCTCTGTCGGACCTTGATAGTAACCAGCGCGTCAATTATGAAGTTATCGAAGGTTCTGTTGTTGGGATTCTGGTCCCCAGGTGCTTGGCAGGGGTTCTTGTTGCGGGACATCATCTTCATTTCCTTTCCAGTGATTGCAAGCGAGGGCACGGTTTGGGTCTGAGCGTAGATAATGCCATGATTGGTATGGCTATGGTATGTAATGTGCATAGTGAATTGCCCACACCTATAGAGTTTAGCTTGGAAAGCTGGAAGTAGAAGATGTTAGCATCAAAAAGGTTGAGGGGTACAGTTTCATTTTGATAGATGGTGTGATTGAATGCAGTAATCTACATTCTGGCACAAATATCACTATCACTTATGTGTAGATAAGTGTCATAGTAAGATTATCAAACATGCAGAGTGTGGGATCTCATTGGCTTAGAAATCATTCATCATTGTTGTCGTCCTGTAGTTCCCTGCAGATTTTTGTGACTTATTTATAATTACGAGTTGCCCCTTCACTCCCACGCTCTTGTATGTCTGTCTTTCACTGCTAAATTACTTGCAAAACTCAATTTGGTGGTGTGTTTTAGAGCTACTAATTCCAAATTTCGCAAAAATAAGAAAGAAAAAGGGTAAGAGGGAGTTTTGACGCGGTTTTTGGTGGATATTCATTAATGGGACTAGGTCCGATTCTCACACAAAGGTAATCCATATCTGACAAAGATTGATAAGTGAGTTTCCACATGTAATATTTGGTGCAAAATAAATAACCATATAAGGTCATGTTCAAAGATTTCCTCCTGTTGGATAACAATATTGTCTTTCAAATACAATAGTATGAATGCCAAGAGGACCAGATCAATTTTAGATGCGCTCTCAAATATGATGATTAATCCGTCCAATCCGCGGTGCATAATTTGCTGTCAGAATTTCGATCCCAAGTGAAACATTGTGCCGTACATGATTCACAGAGGTATTGCTCTCGTGCAGGCAGCAGGGGGATAGTCTTGACAAAGCCGTGGAACATGATAAAGACTAAGCTCTCAGCTCTGCAAAGACGCATTAAATGTAGCCAAATTCTAACATCTGCTATCTCCTGTAGGAGAGGGCCCCAGACACCACCCCATGCCATCTGCCAGGCCCCCTCTCGGATACTACAACCGTCCAGTGTTTGCATCTGGTTGATTTAAGTTTGTCAATTTGAATACGGCGCCGCGGCCCGAACAAACGGTTTCCATGGTTGGATGCCAAGAAAATCGTTTTAAGGTGCGGCTTTAGCGTTGGCTCGTTGTCACACACCGGCCCAAATCATCAGAAATCCCCCTTTTCCTCGCTCTCGCATGGCCGGTAGAGTGCCCTGAATTGAAATATCTTCGTTGTTTTATCGCTTGGGGGTGGTTCAGTGTTAAGACTTAAAAACTCACTATGATCCAGTCCTACTCCTTATAATCCAAGGCTATTTAGGTTTTCTCTCTCTTTACCTATCTGCTCTTGGATACGTTCAAGAAGCTTTATTTGGAATCAGCGTTGGCAGTGGCATCATCTATCTCCCACTTTCTTCCAGTCTCTCCCTCCCTTCCTTTCCCCAACCACCCTATACACGCTAGGTCCTGCCTACCGTGCAGGCCTGCGGCGCAGCAGGATCTTGAGGCACTACTCTGCATCGCGCGTAACGCCTCTCTCCCTGAGCACTGTGAAGTTTGATTTAGCATCATCTCAGTGATATTTGGGAAATACACCAGCATTGTAAAACATTGTTCAAACGAAGAGAACAAGAAGAAGAGACAATGGGTCCCATCAAATCAAATCAAATCACATACATTGAATTAGCTCAAATTGACATTAACGCACTGTTTGGTCTTTGCCATCAAGGGGTGACTGCCAGCAGCTTTAGCTCTCGAGCAAGATTATGATTACCCGGAGTGGCTAATGTTGTCACCTCGAAAATACGCACCATTGTAATTGGAGCTTCTAAATTCGAGGTAGGTAAAGAGACAAAGAACAAAGGAGAGAAGGAATCGGTACTCTGGGCAATGGCTCCACCATGGAGCGCGGGTGGGTTGAAGTGGTGGTTTTAATCGACGTAGTTATTAGATGTTTTTTTTGGTTCGGATGAGGATTTGAGAAGATGGTAGTAATAAGGATGAAAGGGTGAGGAAATGGGAAATGAAGGAAAAGAGATATAAGATAAAGTATCGGCTCCTGATTTGCTTCGCTAATGTGTGGTGAAGGATTTGAAGCGGACGCTACTTACTTAGTAAAATGAATGAATCAATGGTGTATGTGAATACTTCAGTTTATCCAGCCCTTCCTTTCCAGCTTGACATGTATACAAATAAATCACCAATTTCTCAGTTTACTCTTTGTTTCTATTCAATTCAATATGACGGCATCAAGTCAACAATGACGTGAATCAAAATCATTATTCGGGTTTCACTTCCCTTGTAAACACCTTCATGATCAAACACATTACTAATTGTCAAAGGGAAATAACAATAGCAGCGTTGTTGTTTGCATGAATAGTTTATCAGAATATTTTGACTCCGATATAATCCTCCAACACACCTAAGCGGGTAAGAAATTAGTTTCGGATCTCTGCCGTGGCTGGTGCTAATGATTTAAGCTTAAATTCACTGTCCACTCATGCAAGAGTCTTCCGCGATCACCAGGATAACTCCAGAACGGTCAGGGACCAATGCAAAATCTGTGTAACCAGCTTTTCAAGATTGTTGAGGTTGATTTTCCGCTTGCTGCCGCTCATGGAAAAGCCTGGAATTATGAATATAATGGCACTTATTTGGTGGTGTATATGTAAGCATGTATCTAATAACTAACTACCTTCGACGACAAATCACCTAGTGTGAAAGAGGCATCTCGATTTAAAACCTGAGTACTATATGCCAATATCTTGCGTACATATTCCAGACTTAGAAACTCGTTCAGAGACTCAATGATAGCCTTCAAGCAGTAGTACAATAATTTCGAAATCAAGGCTACAATGATATAGAGACAATAATCTTTGGAACTCCCTAGACATATTTAAACTGGGTTAATTCCGTCGACAACAACGGGTTTAACGGGCCTGTGGAGTGTGAAGAATTAGTCCTTAGCGGTGTATGAGATATTGCGGATGCCATTGCCACAATGCGCTTAGCCAGGATCAGGATAATAAAGCTTGGTGCAATTCCTGGGCTCCAAATCCAATTCGGCAGAGAGTATAGCATATCAGAGAAGATAAAAAAAAAATGCGTCAGGTCATCATTAGTTGAACTTATGCATAAGACATATAGTGAGATTGATTATATGATGCGTGATGCGGTAAAAGAATGCTCTACCATTGGCAGAAATACTTCACGAGAGATGATGGAATAATAGTTTGGCAGGCGTCAAGACAGTCCATGATATGGCACAATGAAGAGAACAATTGCAGCGGAATCTCTCTCTTTTAAAAATGATTCTCACTACTCCTCCAATACCTCGTCAATTCCATCCTAATCATCCAGTCCCTACACCTCCGATAACGTTTGCTAGTAGATAAAATTGCTCGGTATTTCTCCAACCAGTTGTTATCCCCTTCAGCCCAGTGTTTCGTCTCCTGCTAGTCAAAATGTAAACGCACACCAGATATTAGAGAAATCATCACCTCTGATAGCCCCTTTTCCCTACACAAAGATCACTACGAATCATGAAATGAAACGGGAGCGATCGAGCCAGCAAGACCCCCAAACGTCTATTGTTCTTCAAAGAACGGGTTGTGGTGGCTCTAGATGGACTGGATCAACTGTTACATAACAGTGGAGAGAGATATCATATATATGAAATGCTACGACTACTCTCGAATCCACACGAAAACCAATATTACTATGATGGAGTCATAATCACTGTCATGTGTGTGTTTCACAGAAAAACCCAAGTACAAATGAAGGGAAAGAGACTAGATCCCAACCTAAACAAACAGCACATGGAATGTCGGAGTGAAACGCGGGCAAAAGCCACGGTACCAATCAGGATCCAGTCTAGGAGAACTGATCTCAAAGAGGTATGGCATGATCTAGAATGAGACGGAGATGACAGCATAATAAAGATAAGTTTTCAGCTATTCTGAATCGTCGGCAATGTGTGGACAAGTCAGCCAGACTCTGAGAAGCCGCGTAACCTTGTAATGACACTCTCGATCCTCCCATTCCCTCCTGTGAACAAGTTTTCTATTGTCTTATCTCTTCCTTCATCGCCAATAACAATAGCTCTTTCCACAAGACCTTCATTGGAAAGCTTTATCCGACCGACACGACCATCCTGCCATTCTAACCGAATGTATCTCGTGTCCAGGGCAGTTGCAGCAACGGACACGATTCCCAGCCCATTTTTAGGCGGTCGATCATCAGAAGGATGGTGTGGAGAAGACGGAACCCCATGCTTCCCATTCTGGCTGGAAATTCCAAGCTCCTCCTGCAGCCATCCGAGCGCATCACAACGCAAATGCCACGCGACCAGCTCCCTCCTTAATTCCCGCACCAGCCTAGGCAAGCGTTGCTTGGGCGTTTTCCCCAATTCACTATCCCCACGAGGCACAGCAAGGTATCGTTGCTCCAGTTGATCCAAGGGGATAAATATAGGTATGGTATGGCGATATACCTGGAGAAATTTCTTATCTTGCCCACCAACGCGTCTCAAGAGCAAATAGTACGGCTTAACAAACGTTCCATGACGCGTGCAGATGTCAATTCGAATGCCTAGTAAATTTGGCGACTTTGAGTGGGGAGAAGGGTCCTTGAAGGGAAAAGATGTTGCGGAGAATGCAATGCGATGGTGATTGACTTGGTTGTGCTTTTCATTGTTTAGGATGATGGGTTCGATATCCTTTTCCAGTCCGGACGGGACATGTTGGCGAAACGCATCTTGAACGACATTTGTACACAGGAGACTTGATGAAAGGAACTGCCTTCGATTGGTGAGATTGCGGACTATCAATGCTGTCAGCAACCATGCATGTCATGACAGTGGGGGAAACCAACTCTCAGCACGGATCGCAGCGATCTCGTCGTCAAGGCTATTAGATACGTCTTCATCTACAAGCCGTGAAGCAGTAGTCTGAGCATCGGCAGACATGGCCACAGCATATATTACAAAGATGCAGGACTGGGACTGTCCTAGAGATGCGGTATGTAGCCCCTTCACCAAGGATGATGCCGTATGATGCTGTTTTATTTTCGTGCGTGGTAGTGTGTTTTTGTGTTTGATGATGATGGCTGATGCCAAGACGTTTTATTCCACAATTACGCAAAAGGTCGGCAGTTGAGTAATGTAACTAAAATACACACCCCATATTACCGGAAGGCTGCGTATTTTTGATACATCTGGAAATTTTGCTCGATATGTATTGAAATTTACCATAACTTGCTGCCCCTATAAAAAGATGGCGATAATCTCATACAACTCACACGCTCCACAGTATCTTCCGCCAATACGGAGAAAAAAGACACCATTCAATTGCTATGATTCAGAACTTTTGCGACCGACTACACGAGGCGCAGGCCTTGGTTGACCATAAAGTACCATCAATTACCAGTTCAGGATCAACTTTTGTGTTGCGTGGCTGTTTCAAGCATGGTACGAAGCACCATAGATTCCCAAGAAGTAATTCACGAACAGATGGACAAATGCCAATCTCTGGTGGTTAACCAGGAATATGTAACTGCCTTGGTATATAACCTCGGCACTGCCGTTCCCACCATGAAAATGAACTGAAAATACCATATTTCCAGTTTCTGCCTTGCCAATAGCTATGGTAGTTAGTCCGCAAATATCTCCTCTTGACAACGGTAGCAGCCCTCTGCCTGTTGCCAACTAGAATTTCAAAACATGACAGCCAATAACTACCAACTCAAAACAACCAGCTACTCTAGCATTATTGCAAACCTGGGCAAGGCCCTCACTGTCATATCGGTCATACAAGTCCTCGCAAAATTCAACCACAGGAATCCAAATCTTCTCCCACGGTTAAAAACACCCCCAGCGCCTTTACTTGGGAGGACATCGACGGCTACGACGATGTCAATACAGAGTAATGGCATCCCCAGTGCATTACCACTACTGCGGACACAACAGACAACAGACATCCCCTTCAGTCTTCTGGGATTGGGACCGTTCTGATGGCGATACACGTGGAGCGCGATTCTCCTTCATCAATAGGAACGAAGGGGTTACAAGGGGCTTCCGCAATAGTCTGCACGTCAAACCAACTGACAGCGGGAAGAAGCCGAATTTTGAGGCCTTCAGCGGCTTCCATACAAGTGTGGAAGAGGAAGAGCCTGGTACGGAAATTTTCTCTACCAAATGGGGACCCCTAGTTTTTGATTTTGAAACACATTTACGAGCTAAACCCAGGAGATGGCATTGGACATGTCGGTTACAGCTATCAAGCACACAACTATAGCTAAGTGCATACAATTCCTCTTGACAGAAGTAGTTGGGTTTAAATATAATGATTGGTTTTAGATGATGTCCTACCGCAAGTCCGGGCGTACAAATGACAACCAGACGGCGGCATCAAGAAGTTGCATTTCCCCTTTGCGTTGGTGGTCTCGATAAAATCAAGCCGTGGAGCACTCCCTCACCAGTATCCAGGGCGCCAAACCATCAATAGCAAATAGTTTTTTTTTTTTTTTTTTTTTTTTTTTTTTTGACGCAGAGCGGCGGCAGCTTGTGGAACGTTCACTGGGAAGGGTTGTCAGAAGCAGCACAAGAGGTCTTCTCCGGTGTTCCAGAGGGCTTACCTTATCGTTATCAATCTGTATATGGATTGTTGGACGCAGACGGAGCCACCGAGAAATAGCCATGTTGTTTCTCTTGATCTTCAGAAGTTCTAATCATTTGCAATACCATGCACGTTACACATACCTAATTGGCCAGTGATAATCCGTGTATATGTATATGTCTTGTTTTGATATTTTTCAATACACTCTCAGCTACTGCTAGAAAAAATATTATATTCAATATAAATAATAAACCCTGTCCTTCCGTAGGCCTTTTTGTCGAGCGCGCTCTATGCCTTCGGCTTTCTCATAGCCCACACAAATGTACACCTCCTTAACGACTTCAAACCCGCTCTTTCTCAGCACTTTGCAACTTGCATGATTTGCTGTCTTGCAAACGGCGTAAACCTTCTCCGCGTCTCCATCCCCATTCCCAGTGCCTGCGCCATCCGGTCCCTCACCACAACCCGCTACAACACTCCGCCTTGGAAGATCCCACCACGTCTTCATCACCATCTGCAATGCTTCCGTCGCATATCCCTTGCCCCAAAATTGGGGGAGAATCGAATACCCAATTTCAGGACTTGGGAAGTAGCCTGTTGATGCTCAAGTAGCCAATAAGTCGTTCCTGGGCATCGGGAATTGACTTGTCCAGGATGGCAAAGTTGAAAGAATGTCCAATTTACATCCGGCGGGCCCTCTTTAAAATAACTTAGATGTCATCCATTCTCGGGTTTCCTCGATTGATTTGAGTGGGGTGCTGGGGTGACTGATGAATATATCGTCGTTAGCGATGATCTCTATTTCACCCCCTTCCTCAATGCATATTTCTGCAATATTTCTGTCTTTTTTATTTTATTTTATTTTATTTATATATATATATATATATATATATATATATATATTTTTGGCATACGACTTTTGTAAAGGCTTCTTAGACGCCGGTTAAACCAGCTCCTGAAGAGTAAAGATAGGGGACCCGACTTATTTGCTGCCACTTTCTGGTCGTTGAACGAATGGCAAATAGCGCTGCAGCATTGGAGTTGACGATGGGTCGAAGAAGCAGACGACTGCTATTAATTGAAGAAACGGGGAATGGCAACATCGCATAGACAGGTTGATTAGGTAGTAGATCCATTGATGTGTATGTGTGAATATCTTTATGGCAGGTTGGGAGAATGGAATAATGAACGTTGGACGTCCAGTTCTCCACCTAAAATGGAGAGATGGTGCACTTCTCTTACCGACACCGGAAGGGTTCTGGTATCGTCTTTGGGAGTAAGACATAACTAGTTATAGCTAGGGAGCTGGGTTATCCCAACATCTGAACCTGCTGCCAGGCTCCAGCTAACCAGGATCTGATGTAATTAACTAATTAGCAGGGCGTGTTCAACGCCATCGCTCTTCAGCGGTTCAATGAAACAAACAACTATGTAGTTACTCTGAACCATACACACTTTATAGTACATGTAGCCAACAGGGCGTGATCGACATCAATCCACGCTGTATAGTTAACTAGCCGTGTTTGAACTACATGCTCAATGTGTGATCAAGCGCCATTGCGTTGTCAAGTTGTTCAGTTCATTTTCTGGCGACCCTTTAAAAAATTAAAAGAATTTTAAACAGAATGAATGGTAACTAACTAACTGTAACTTTTAATAGTTAGTCGATACTTTTTTTCATGATCCGCATAAAATGTTACCATCGAAGTTAACGAGCCAAATAACCAAGCTTCGAGAGGCCAGTTTGCCTCTATTAATTGATCCCATCTGCCACTCAAACACTTGGCTGCTGCCTCTCTCTGATGAGCCTGTCAACTCTGCCCACGTCCTCCTCTCCTCCCGTTCCACTTGCGTTCTCCCGCTTGCATCCCTCCCTTCGCCTTCTCCGAGTTTCGAGTCGTCAGCCCGTTTCATTGAACTCGACCAAGCACCTGGACTTCCAGCCCTAACCCCTAAGTTGCGCCGAAGAGCAGCTTAACGACGCCGTAAATCCTTCTGCTGCTGCGTGCTGGAGAAACAATCTCGTCCTTGGCACAATTAAAGGAAATTCCTTGGAAAATTGAAAGGACGGTAAGAAGACGGAGGGACTGTGGAATTCCAACAAATATTTTCCGCTCTACGAAGGATAGTGACCAGGAACACGGCGCCCTTTCAAACTCCGGGTGTCTATAGATATTTAACTTGAATACAGATGAAGCGCGCTAAGAAGAACGCATCCCTCAAACGTCGCTCCCCCCCCAGCAGGCCCGGCCTGTCAGTCGTAACAGGCAGAGGCAGCGAAAACGGGCAGCAATCCAACGGCGATATGAATTTCAACGTTGACATGCCGGGGAAGGACAATTTTGCAACAGAAAGGGCTCGGCCGATGAATAGATCAAGCTTCACCTTCGACGAGGGGCTGCCCACTCCGCGGACACCAGCCATGGTTACTACGAGTTTCCGCGATCTGCCCATACACGACAAGCGGAATTTTGTGCTATTATGTGTACTCTACTTTTTGCAAGGGGTTCCAATGGGTCTAGCAGGCGGATCGGTACCTTTTCTCCTCAAACCCTACCTGTCATACGGCCAAATCGGCATTTTCTCCCTCGCGTCATACCCGTATTCGTTGAAGTTGTTATGGAGTCCGATCGTGGACGCTGTGTGGAGTCGAAGATTCGGACGAAGGAAAAGCTGGATCGCACCTATCCAGCTGATATCTGGGTTTTCCATGTTGTATCTAGGGAAAAACATAAATAAGATGATGGTGGCAGCCGGTGAAAATGGAGGTGCTGGTGTCTGGAGCTTTACCGGTTGGTGGTTCCTTTTAGTATTTCTGTGCGCGACTCAAGATATTGCTGTCGATGGATGGGCGATTTCCCTCCTGTCACCTCAGAATATCTCCTATGCTTCCTCCGCGCAGACCGTGGGGCTCACCGCAGGGCAGTTTCTTTCATACACGGTCTTTTTGGCGTTGAACTCCAAAGATTTCGCCAACAGATGGTTCCGCAGCCAGGAGCAGAGCGTCGGTCTCGTAACCCTGGGAGGCTATTTAACCTTCTGGGGATGGTTCTATCTCATTGTGACCATAGCCCTGGCTCTCCGGAAGAAGGAGGAGAAATCGAACGATCGCGATGGCATTCTTGCCGTATACAAGAGCATGTGGGGCGTTCTTAAGCTGAAAAACATTCACACCATCATCATCGTCCACCTGATTGCCAAAATTGGTTTTCAAGCCAACGACGCTGTAACCAGCCTAAAACTAATTGAAAAGGGTTTCGGTCAGGAGAACATGGCTCTTGTCGTCCTAATCGACTTTCCGTTTGAGATCGGCCTGGGATACTATGCTGGTAAATGGTCCAACAAGTATACCCCAATGAGACTTTGGTGCTGGGCATTTGTCGCCCGACTCTTCGCCGCGCTTCTTGCGCAGGCCGTTGTCATGATTTTCCCAAGTGGCGGTGGACCAATGCCGCTCTGGTATCTCCTGGCGGTTATTGGCGAACATGTCTTGTCCACTTACATGATGACTGTCATGTTCGTAGCCGTTTCAGCCTTCCACGCACGCATTGCCGACCCTGTTATCGGCGGCACTTACATGACCCTTCTCGCAACGTGCGTATCAATGCTTTCTTCCTATTTCCTCAGTCCCAATGACTTTGGGAATTTTCTTCAAGTTATAGCTAACAGATATACCACAGCGTCTCCAATCTTGGCGGAACCTTCCCAAAAATCTTCGTTCTCAAGCTCGTCGACCTCTTCACCCGCGCGACCTGCATCCCACCCACAGAAACATCCGAAGGCATAACAGACCCCATCACTGCGCCATTCTCCTGTGCGCTCGAGGCTGACAAGCACCGCTGCGAGGCCGGCAAGGGCGTTTGCCAGGTGTATCGTGATGGTTATTATACCACCAACATTTTATGTGTGATCATTGGCTCAGTTACCTTTTTCCTCTATATCAAACCAGCTGTACTCAAGGTGCAGCAGCTACCTCTGCGCGCGTGGAGGCTCAGCAGCGATAGACAGTCCTAGATTTGGTTTGCTTTTTTTTCTTTTCTTTTTTTTTTTTTTCTCTTTCGCACCCTTCCATTTACAAAACGAAAGAAGATTTTCTCCTTGGCTGAATTGACATCGTTACGCTTTATATTTGCTTTTTCAAATAAGCTCTATATGGGAGGGTTTGTTGTTCGTTTGCTCCTGTCTCGTTTGCCTAGATATTCCCACTATCCAGCAAATGTGCCTTTTTTTCCCCTTCTCTATGCCTGTATGTACTATTATGTGTCTCGATGAGAGCTTGAACTTCTAACCATTAAGAGCATAGCTACATCAGCTTTCCTGCTACATCAGCTTTCCTGCTACGTGCTTTTTATTTTGTTGCCCGCCAATTGCGGATGTTGAGTCATTTTCGCAGCCAGAAGAAAGATCCTCAGCAGCTGCTTGTGCATAATTCAGACCCGTTTCGTTGAAGCCCCTTCTAACCACCAAAATAAAATTGACTCATCATTCTGTGACATGACTCTTTAACTAACTCAAGGCGCCTTTTGGCATCGAGAGTGCTACGGTCAAGCCCCAGGAGTTAGCTGTGACCAAATCCTCCCGCCGACTCTCGATCAAGTTAATGAGATGGATAACTACCTAAATACCTAGTGCCTTGGGTGGCGCTGGGATCATGGCTTTCTACAAAATGGGTCAGATCGTGGACATCAAGACATAGGAAAATTATGCGCGGGATCTTCAGGAAAAGAGACCATAATATATCTTCGCTGAATAAATTTCGAGGATATACCCTCCTCACTAAAAGGTGAACCAACAGGAATGATTTCGCTATTCGCAAAATTACAAAAATCTTCGTAGATATACAATATTTCAAGTCCCCCCACCCATACAACAACTATCACTCATACAACACTCCAGTAACTCGCCATGTCTCTCTCCTCCCTTCCCATCGAGCTCATCTACGAGCTTGCCTTTGAGCTTGTGACGCCAGACCTAAACTCCCTCATCCAAACCAGCCGCCACTTTTGCTCCATACTCAACCCGGTACTTTGGGACGCGAGGTCATTAGTAGACGCTACAACATCCGACCGTCTGCATGCACGCATCCTCGAGAGATTGGGTGCGGATACCAGCTCCATCTTCCACCAAGCCTCTAAGACGGGTAATGTCCACACAGCCCGCAAACTCCTCGATGAATACGACGAGGACCCTGATTCAAAGACAATCGACTCTATTCCGGTAATCGTTCCCGCTCTCATGGCTGGCCATGAAGACTTCGTACGTCTCATGGTTGAGAGAGGTGGTCTACGCAATCCCAATGACAAGCGTATGGCCATCGTAATAGCGATTAGAACCGCTAATGCGCGGATCGCCAGGATCATCCTGGAAGGAGATGGAAAACTATGTGACCGCCAGCTACATCCATGCTTCTTGCAGGAGATCAGAGGCAACGAACCTTAAATAATGGGTTTGATTCTGGAGCGTGCCTCCGATTCAGATGAGTTCATACTCAACCCCATTGCCGTCGACATAGCAGTGAGCAATGAGTCAATCTCTGCAATGGGTTTCCTGCTCGACAGAGGAGCCAATACCAACAACGTCGTTCTTCAAAATGTGGTGTATATGGACCAAAAGTCGTCCTACGATGGCTCATCTCTCGAGATGCGACCGCGGGAGTCCGGAAGGGGTTTGCTGATGATACACTATCGCTAGCACTTGAGGACGCGCTCCTGAACCATTACAGTGGCTACATCCACATTACAGCAATGAATCTGATGATCCTGATGACTGAGAGTTTCTCAGTAGGTGGAAAAGAAATACCGGGGGGGGGGGGTTGGGGAATTTCCAAAGATGTGAGAAGTGGCTTATCATATGGGTCCTCAATATGGACTTTACTGGAGACAGATAATTGCCTAGGTAGTGAATCGATATAAAGGGTAAAGGGTTCTGACAAAATTTAACGAATACATGCGATTTAATCAATATAAAAGTCACATCATAAAAGGGGGAATATATCCGTGAACACTATACGTGGAAAGCTCTCAAAGGTCAAAAATCAAGCAAAGCTCAGTCAGTCATCGGGTGCATGGAAAAAGAGGAATAGGAAAAAGTAAAGGAAGATACAATGACGAAAATATATAAATAAATAAAAAAGTAATAAAAACAAACATGAACAGAAAATTTAAGTACAAGCTGAAGTACAAGTTTTAATAGAAGTAAGATAGGAAAAAATGTCCAGTGTGCAAAAGGAAAGCAAATCAAGGAAAGGTGAGGAAAAAGAAGATTCATCACATATTAATGTACGACCATCCGTCAGTCTGAGCTCCAGTTTTCCTAGCCCCTTTGTTTTTCTTGGTCCGTTAAAAAATCAATCTCCCATCACATCATCTTCAATATCATCAGGTGGGGGAGTCAGCTTCAAATCCTCATCTGCTTCTGTGCCATGCCTTTCATCTTCATCATCAGCCAGCTCTCTTGTTTGTAAATCTTCGTCCTCATCTTCTCCTGCATGCGCACCTTCCACCACCTCCTCATCCTCCTCATCATCGTCCTCAACTATCTCTGCCGACTTGATCTTCCCGTAGTTTTGTTTCAACGATTCTCCCGAAGGTCCAATACCATTAGTTCCTCTTTCCTGAGCCTGCTTCGCTTTGCTTTTTTGCGGAACAAGCCTTCTACCAGCAGCTTTCGCAACGTCCAAATACGCCACAACTTCCTTGTAATTCTGCCCGAGGCGAGATTTGTTCCGTAAAAGCTTTTTCTTCAGCTTCCCACTTTGTCGCCCGGACGAATCAAGTACACGGCCAACAATAGCAAGGACGATCTTGCCAGTAAGTTGGCATAGGCTTTGCTCTAGTAAAAGCAAATTACGGGTCCGTTTCGCAGCCAAGGCATCCCTTGTCTCCTCATCGGCCTCGTCGTCATCTTCACCTTCATCGTCTGATAAATTACTGTCAACCTCTGACAGTGAATCCATGGGCTCGTCATCCTCTGCAACCTCTGCCACTTCCAACTTTCGTCGAGACTTTTTAGCGTATGCCCGTTCGGCTGTGTCGTGAATGCGGGAAATTAGAGCTTGGGTTTCTGGGGTAATATCTTGCACCAGATTTTGGATTTCGAGGGCAACTTCATCATTCAATGAAGGAATGACGTTCTTTGTCCGCAATCCAGCGCTGCGAAGTGTCCCAAACACAGTTTGGAGGTCAAGTAAAGTGAGCGTCGCGGAAAATCTAAGTTCGTCGAGTCCCGAGCGGGCTTGCATAATAGAGGTAAGAATTGCGACAAAGGCATCCCGACGAGTCGAAAGTGAATTGAAATAATCGGTATCAAAGGACGGGTCCCCGGATGATAGTGTCGAAGTGATGAACTGTACTTTCCACATAAAATATACAAGAAGAATTTTAAAACTGTTCGTCACCAGTTCGAATTCCAGTCTTGCAACCTCTTCATCAGGATCCTCTTCTCGGAGACCTCGTTTACTCAAGTTGAGAATAATATCAACAGAGGGTTTAGATGAGGTGGTTTGCTTTTTAGAAACAGCGGGGGGTTCGGCCTCCAGGATGGAAGCGCAGTCGGAAACGCTCGTGAGGTTTGAAATCCTCATAACAGTATTCGAGAGTGCCGTGAGAATGTTGACGGAAAGAGACGGTATTTCTTCCGTACATTTTGTTACCGATAAGGTGCGCAGGGTTTCAAGTGTATCATCCCAAAGTTCCTGCACCTTGGTTTCCATGGCTTCTTTAAGTTCATCCGAAGTACGAGCATGCAAAAATGCCACTGTGGCTTCTGCTAGGACGGATTGGTGTGAATGGGTCAAGAACTGTTTGTTAATATTACCAATGAGCTCTGAATATGCAGCTGCATCCTTCTGGAGATCCTGGATCAAGTTGAGATCGACCAAATGTTCTAGCCGCAGAATAGCAGAAGCAGCCTCGGGTACCGATCCAAATTTATTCAGCAGTCGGGGAATGATTTGAGACAGGCTATGGGCGATGGATTCCTGTCGCTCCTCCATCCTCTCAACTAGCAACTTGGTCTTCCTACCCTTCTTATCAGTGTCAGATTTGGCGATCTCCATGATATGTAGCTTAACCGCGCAGCTTAAAACTTCCAATAGGACCACCTCCTGTCCTTCACTTAGTTTGAATAACTGTTTCACAGTAATGGAAGAAGAATCTTCTTCACTCGAAGTCTCTGGAATTTGGGAATGATCATAGAGAAGATATCCAGCTAAATGCTCCCATTGCTGGAGTTCTTCAAAATGGGAGTAGATAGCTTCTGTCGCAAGCACGAACCGTGAATCAATGCGACCATCAAAACCTGTTCGCAAAAGGGACGAGTCCTGATCAGGTTGCCCTTCAGGTTCCTGACCGTCATACACTTGAAGCACATCCACAAGGCATTTGTATTTGATCCAAGAGCGGCGAGGTGTTTCATAGTTATCTTCGTCATTGTCATCCATGAAGGATTCGTTTAGTTCCTCCTCCAAACTTTCCGTTAGAGTGTCATACACGTCCTGGATATTCTCAACAAAAAACTTGCCAGCAGCCTTGCGCACACGAGGTTCGCTATCGTAAACAAGCCGGCCAACACTGTCTATGTCATCGGGTTCTAACAATCCACCCTCTCGAATCAAATCTAGCAACTCCACAACTGCAGATCGAACACTGGGTTCAGCATCTCTGCCGGCCATCTCCACAATTCGTGGGCGAAATCGTTCGGTGAAAGCACGGAGTCCAGCAATGTTATCTTTGTTCTGGTAAAGTCGATGGAGCTGGCTCACCACAACGGCTCTAGTATGGGCGACCGTGTCTGAAAGGACCCAGCCCAAATATCGTAGGTATTGACCGTCGAAAAACATTTCCCTGTACGAATTAATCCAAACTCCAAGGGTGTTAACGCACTCTGCCCGAATCTTCGGATCGACATCTCTGTACCGATGAACGAACACGGTGTCAAACGAGTCGTGGAGACAACTATCAATAACTTCTAATTTTTTCTCCCCTTCTTGAATCTTAGACTGCATTGCATCGGCTCTACCTTTATTAACGGACTTTTTCTTCTTCTCCGTTTCCAGTTGTTTTCGGGTATTTGATATAGTTAAAGAAACTTCCCTAGCAAGATTGCACAGCGTCGTCATGATTGCAAGCGATATTATTGTAGCGGTATGCCTGAATGGTCGAATAGGTGCTGAAGACATGGATGTTATCCAAACTTGAATGTTTTCAACTAGGGCAGAGTCATTGTAGAGGACTGAGGAGCTGTGAATAGTACGAATTAGGGAAGTGAAAAAGCTAGTTAGTATGTCCTGGAAAGACTTGAATTTCTTGGCTTTCGAAATCAGAGGGTATTCGGTGATGTTCTGGGCCTGATATTCTTCCTGAAGGTCATTCAGTCGGTTGGCGACGTTGTCGACGTCTTCTATATCGTGGTCGTCAACCTTCAAGTCTGTGCCTGCACATTTGAGGATGAAATTGACAAGATCGGTCATCCCTTTGATATTGTGCTGCTCGTACTTTGTAAGCCATTCTGCGGCAACAGCATCAGTAGTGTGGCCCCGGGAGAGCACCTCGGCTATGACGCAGAACGAATCAGCAAGAATCAAACCGCTATGATGGATTGGATGGAGTTAATCCTACCATAGAGGCCATCTTCCTCCGCAAAATCACTTGGCCTTACTCGAGGCTTTTTCGGTTTCGCTGCTGGCCGATCCCCATTGACAGCAGGACGGAAGGTAAGTTCAGTCGTCACACCATTGGTAATCTTTGGTTTCTTCGCTACCCGCTTTGGAGTGGGCTTCTTGGGCTTGGGCGGTTTCTGTTTCTTACTGGCGGCAGCCTTCTTTCGCGCAGCCTTCTTTCGTTCTTTAAGCTCTTCCTCATCAGGTTCATCCTCACTCTCTTCTTGATCGTCTTCATCTTCTTCCTCTTCCATACCGTCCTCTACACCCTCAGCCCCGCTCCCTGGCGCATCAGACGCGTCGCTCTGATTCTCGTCGTCGTCGACCCCGTCCCCATCCTCCTGTTGGGCAGCGCGCTTCCGCTTCATCGCTCTGCTTTGCGACGGGCGACTAGAACTGTATGCAGCTGAAGAGAAAAGTTCTGGCTTTCGTTTTGCCCGACCCGACTTCCTCCTGCTTGTTTCTTCAGGTCGTGAGCTGGCACTCTCCCCGGGATCTAGGAGTGGGCTCGAGTCGCGCTCATCCTGAGCAGATACATCATCCATGTTGGATCAACGAGAATGGCAAAAGTCCTTCGTCTTTGGAGCCAGTGATCTGTCGGTCGATGTTGATTTTGGGCGCGTGGACTTTTTGGGGACGCGACCCGTCAGAAACAATGGAAAAGTGGGTAGCAGACAACGCGTTGATAGTAGTTTAAGCAGTGAGCGGCAATTAGTGGGCCTTTTCAGGGCAAGACGCAAGGTCTGCGACGGAAGGCAATGCTCCTCCTTGCGTTGGCGGTGATATCGGGAGATGGGATATATGTGAGGTTTGGTGGGCCGTGACAATCGCCTGTTCAACTTTCGGGCAGCGCGACGGAGATTGGGAGTTGTACGCTATGGTATTGGTGCGATGTGGTAAATTACACGGCTTAAGGGTGAAAATACAACGGATTACGCTGTAATTCCAATACTACGCTATGCCGGGGTCACATGAGAAGAAATATTATATTAAATTCTTTCAAAACTTGTTGAAAATTAAACTATTCAAAGTTAAAATTATTTAATCAAGATTTATCTGATCAATTATAATATTATTGGTTTAATTAGGATAAATTGTATTATTATAAAATACATCAAATATATGTTGAAATTACTTTTATATCAACTGATTAAATAACTGAAGACAGTTAGTTTAATGAAGCCTATTCGCATTGTCAAATTCAAGGTCCTTCTCGACCTTATATAGAGTTAAAATAAACTACTTGATAGTTAGCTTTCTTGGATGAATTCAAGCAATAGTTCATTCATCGAAACCTTTATAAACCTGTCACTTTGGTTGTGTCAATGTGAAGCTTTCCTTGTGCTACTGGAAATATAGGCTCCCGGAGGCACTGCATGGTTGTCACTGAGTGTGCTAACCAATCTTCGTCGAAGTGTTGATATTTAGTTAATCTGTGAGGAAGTTGTCCTAAACACCTACGCTGCCCTGTTCCCTGAATCCTCAATGTCCTCCCAACCTCCAATAGCTTCCCTGAATACCTGAAGCCAACCCGCTCCACGAGACTCAAGGTCAAAACAGGTCACCAGTCCCTCCATTAATTACTCATCTGTTCTACTCTTGCTTCGCAAGAACAGCGGGACGCCACAAATCTTCTAGTTTCTTTCCCAGGTCACCGCTGCTGCACAGAGCTGTGCCCATTTTTTTATGTGGCACGGTGACCGGGCAATTGTACACAGAAAGTTCAAACCCCTGAGTGACTTTTAGTTCGTTGAAAGCGGTCTTCCATCTCTCCAATCTTTCTCCTGCAATGACTTTTTCCAGACACGACCTTTCCGTGCCGAAATTGATCTTGATATATCGCAAATGCATAAACTCAGAAACAAACTGACATATGGCAACCACCGTTTCCGACGAGGTGTCAAACCAATCGTCGTAGAATTGTAGGTGCAGTTCAATGCATTTGATAAAACCTAAAATGGCATATCGATCTGCGATGAAGGAGAAGAAACATTCGGGATCTTCGAAATTGAGGATGGCATTTTTCCACAAGCATCGCGCTATTTCCCGGGTGAATTTATGGCTAACGTGGAATAGACGACGGAGGAATAAAAGGTCTAAGATTCGAAATTCCCAGCATATGTATTTGTGGTGAGGAGTTGTCTTTTGAGAAGGACTAGAGTATCTTGGGTATGAATCTGTCTTCTGTCCCCTGTAAACTTGCAGTTCATATACAGGACGGCATTCGCCACGAATTCCCCTGGTATGTCGAGGAAGTTTGTTCTCGCAGTTTACGATGTCGTCAAAATACCCTACATCCACTTCGCTGTCGGAATCATGGTCGTCATCTCCACTGGTACTGCCGGATTCCACTTCTTCTAGGTCCAATTCGAAGTCAGTCTCAAAACGCTCCGTCAAACAAAGTTCCTCTCCCCGCTGAATTTCGGCATCATTGGCAGTCCCTTCTCGGATGGCTTTATACAGTTCAAAAAGGTCTTCCATCCCGTCAGGAATATGCCCATTTGGCTGGTTCGTCGAGTGCGTGAAATCTTGCTCATGACAGAAGCAGCTGAAGACTGCCTCGGATATTTGAAACCGGATGCCGTTCTCCCCCGCCATTTCCGGTAAATCTTCATAACAGCTACCTGATAATGGCTCGAGAAGAAACCCGTATATGTTTTCACGAATCTCCAGTGGCAACCTCATCAAAGGAAACGTGACTGGCCGGGCAGGTATTTTATTTGAGCGCCTGGGCATGGGCATGGTCCAGACTTTCATTCTGCATTCCCGTCTCAATCTCTCTCGTTGATGGACCTGTTTGATTTCATGTGGATAAAGAAAAAAGTGCCCATAACCCTCAGTGTAATCAACAGGTCGACCACCTCCAAATAAGGTGGTGATGTCAACTCTCTCCATTTGCAGCTTCTTTTGACGATACTGTGGAGACCTGGTTGTTAAACAGTAGTTAATACCTTATTACCTACAAGGGAACAAGGGCGGGTAAAGCGACAATGACTCTTCAGCACTATTGCCTCCCGACGGATTCAGAAGGCCGGTGAAAGGAGAATGGATGGTGACACATAACTACAGACATACATCTGTTGATCTACCTGCATAAAAGTAAGTAACTAACGAAAAGGAGCAACGACCCTGCCACGTGACCACACATTCGAATTGAAGGACGAGAGAGTGATTGGTAAAAACATTACGATAATAATTTCTCTTCATGACTCTAATCTTTTAGAGTATTTATCAACTACTTCTCAAGCACTTCAAAGCATGTCTGCAACTCTCAAGTCTCAGGTGTTTGATGATGACCTAAATACACACAAACATCAGAATCTTTACAATAGTCTTATAAGCAGTTGATTAGTAGTTGTCAACTGGCTATCAAGTCTTTATCAATCACCTTACTTTTACATTTGCACAGTCTTCGCATGAGAAACTCTTCTTCATCTCCATCAGCATGGTTCTCATATGAGTGTAGTGATGCTTTATAACTGCTTGTCAGCTGCTTGATAACTGTTCAGCAAGTGATTTGGAAAAGCATGTATCTTTTTGCTATTTTGCTACATTAACAGCTTGAGCTTCTTGACGAGAAGGGTAAGAAATAAGAGGTATCATCATCATTATTCTTCATATTATCTTTAATTATAGAATGATAGAAATCTAAATAGTTTAATATTAATTATCAAGTACTGCTATACAGATTCAAATTACTTATGAATTACTTTTTGTTGCTTCTTTAGAGTTAAATAGCTATTAACATTTGATCAAAAATCTTTATATCCTCATGTTGCATTAACTATATTACTTGTGCTAGCTGCTTGTCAACTGCTTGTCAATTCTTTATTAATTCTTTCTAGTTATTTATATAAATATAGAGACAATTCTTGATTTAATAATTTAATTCATCAAAGTATACAATAAAAACATTATTAAGCTACTTGAAATAGTTACTCATTAGTTATCTGCTAAGCAGTTGTCATAGTTCTCAAGTGCTTATAGTGCAGAAATGAGAAGTATAAAAGTAACTTTCAGTCATTTCCTTAAAATAAGCTTTGTATCAATGCAGTTACAAATTCACCAATTTTTATTCTCTTTTCATTATTTTTTCTAGTTCTTTTGAATATTACTCACATTCTTCTTAAGAGATTCCAGTTTGCAGTGAAAAGACATAGAAATTGGCTTAACTAAGTGATAAAAAGGGGTTTCTTTACAATAGTTTCGCTGGAATAAGATGAGGTTGGATCACACATCCTGCAATATCACCTGACAAAGTACCCCCCCCCCCCCCCCCATATTGAACGACGTCAAACCATCCATCGAGCCCCTTTCAACCCTTCGGACATCGACACTCCCTCACTCATCCATGGAGTCTATTCAGAGCACAAGGTAAGGTAAGCCGAGGTTCTATGGCGTGGAACGGATTGTTGGCCTAATACCAGAAACTCAAATTCAGCTTAGTTATGTCAATTCTTAGGATCAGGTAACTACTGGTTACTATATGTTCAACTTGACATCGCAGTCGTACAGCCTTCCGCTCTACAACTCCACTATGAAGTGATTTTGGCTTCCATGGATGGGCTCTGCGAATATATTTGTCGTCAAATGATACAAGAACCTTTTTATTTTTATTTTTATTTTTATTTTTTTGTTTTGAAGACTTTGTCCCGTCATCCCTGCGACTGGAGAAGTAAACGGACGAACATAGATCGTCACATCCTCTTGCCTGCAAATAGAAAATTTGATATGTCCCTGGTCATCGGGTTTGAGATGCTCGAATAATTTCCTGTCGCTAACAACTCACCATCTACAGTTCCAGTCCAGTGTCCCAAGATTCTGAGATGCCCGGGAGAACTTATTCGCGTCCCACCGCCGAGAATGTAGCAGCATGTCAGACTCTCGATATCTCCCCAGCCCTGAATAGTCGAAATCAATACTCCATCCCCGTATAAACTTCCAAATGGTGATGACAGCATCAGGATAGCTGGATAAACTGGATATGATTTGAGCAACTTTTGCACTAGACAATGCTCAATTTCAGTTGTCTCTCGAGTGCTAAGCCCAACCAACCCCTTGTTTCGTCAGGTGTCTCACCACTTGAATACTCGAAGCACCAAAAGGAACTCCTTTTACCAGCGCCAGGGCAATTGAAACCATAGGCAGATTAATACGGGAGATCGTACGGGAATTGACCCCCAAGTTATTTGAACCTGATAGGACCCTGGTATCATCAAACGTCCCAGCTCCGTCACATACACATCCTATTACCTCCTTTCCCTTCGTGCGACTTGTCTCGGCGAACCTCTGAAACTACTGGAAAGTAGACATGAGTGATAAATACTTCAACAAAATGGTTTCCTGAGATTTTTGTTGAATTTAACATTCATCGCATCCGGGATTCTTTTCGCTGCGAATATATGCCCCCCTTTTTTCCCACATTCTCCTGTGGTCGCGCTTTTAGTTTTGATTTCTTTCATTGTATTTTAATTCCATTTTGTGATCGATGTGGAATGCAAGCGTTGTCACGACAACACCTGTGCGGTCACTATCCGCCCGATCAATGTCGTTAGGTTCCCGTCACAGCTCGGGCGGCTATGATTCAGATCGGAGTAGCGACACGATCGGGAATGAAGAACCTCAGGCGGCTCTATGGCAACGGAAGGGCCGTTTATTAGAGAAGCTCGAAAACGCGGGCATGCATCTAGAAGAGACACAAGAGCCGCCTAACCTAATCCAACAAAATACGCAATACCTCTCGAAACCTCTCAAACAAATCCTGTCCGAATATCCCAAGCCACCACCTGATGAACAGGATGACACGGAGTTACCCCAGAAAATCCCTCCCATGGGGACCCACCAAATCGATGCTGGAAGTGATGGCGGTTCCTCTGAGAGTGAGGATGAGCCTCCACGGATCCCTGGTCCTCTCGAAATGCAGCTCGCCGCTCTAATGTCAAAAATCATCTTCATTGAGCAAGAAAACCCCACCATCTCCGTGTCACAGGAAGAGTATCGAGCATTAGAGGAACGAGTCAAAGTTCTGGAAGCGGAGAAAGCCGCACAAGCCAAACGTCATGAAGCGCTCTTTGTACTCAGAGACGAAGACGTTGCCAATCTCATTAAAATCCGTGTTTTACTAGCCGCAGAACGCCGTGAGCACGCGGCCTTCCGAAGCCTACGCGACGATGACCTCAACAACATCATCGTATTGCGCAGTAAGCTTGCTGACGCTACACGGAAAATCGAGCGGCTAGAAAGATCCGGCGGACAAGGACAACTGACACCTACTCGACGACCAAAGAGCGTCATCTCGATTGAGCGACGAGACACCTCAGACCTATTCCAAGCGGCGAAGAATGCAGCCCTGGAACAGCGGGCACTGGAGCTTGAAAAGGCTAACGAAGACCTCATGGGCAAGCTGGCTGCCGCAATGCAAAATACCGCTTTCCGCACCACGACGGACAAGGCCTGGCGTACTGCTGTCGACGAACTGGAAAGCAAACTGCGGCAAAAAGAAGAGGAAATGACAGAGATGCGGCGCTCGTCTGCCGCATCATCTGGTATGGATTGGAATAGGATGGAAGCGCTGCTTGACGAGCACGGGACGTTCCGTGAGAAAACGGCGCAAAGATTGCAGCAGCTTCGGTCAGAGAATGAGGCGCTACATCGGGAGTTGCACAGGAAAGAGGACGAGAATTTATCTTTGGAGGCGAAGTTGAAACATTTGCAGCGGACGTCCAATGCGGGAATGTTGCAAAAGATTCTAAGATAAGGGATGGATGGGTGACGTTTCAGGTTAATGGTTTTTCCAAGTTTCATTTAATTTCTCTCCTCGTATCATTCCAATACGTCGATAAACAGAAACTATTTTTGACAATATGATCCATTCCTACCTCCACTTTTCACACGATGCGTCCTTCTTCTGCCCAGACTAGAAAAGACTGCTGATGTATTTGAGGGTTGCCAAATTCTAAATGTTGAAAGAGCGTTTGCTCAAACGGGATTCTAACGAAACGTGTTTTGGGTTAAGGGGTCCCCCATGAGATCCGAAGCTTGGAAGAAGGCGGGTATTGCATTATTACATTACAATGCGCTCAGGAAGGTAGCTATTTAATTAATTGCCCCATTGTACAACCAAGGGTGAGTCTTCATGTTTTTGGGGATAACCGTTATTTCAAGGTGGGTTTTATTCCGTTCCTTCGGGTCTCCTACTTGGCTTCCATCAGGGGCGGTTGGATCACAAAACAGTCACAAAAACCGCTGAACATCAAGCATCAGTAGTTATATCTCTCATGAAACACACTTGAAGTAAACAACCGCACTGCAATCAGGGCATTGAAAAGATTGCTTAACAATGACATTGCAATATAGGCACTCAACCTTTCCTTTCCTCTTGAATATTGTAATGGATAAATGCGAGCATCTAGCAGGTAATCCTCGAACCTTAACCAGCTTCGTAACACGCTGATCACACTCAGCACGGATCGTTGACCAGGCATGCTGTCTTCCGGCGATGGTGTCGACAGTCTTCTTGTCAAGCTTAACCAGATCCACTGCTTCCTTGTTCGAGAGTTGCTTTCCCTTTTCTTCACGTTTGCGCTCTTCAATACCAACCGCCTCCTCTGCCTGTGTCCTCTTTTTATTCGGCCATTTGCGAGACCGTTTCGATTTTGATCCTTTCACCGCATCCTGTGTCGCGGAAGCGAAATTACTACCGTTCAACATTCCCGTCCGATCAGCGTCTCCCTCCGCCTCTTGCTCCTCCAACAGAAAATCCTCCCGAAACCGCCAAACCTCCCAATTGGCCTCATGAAGACGAATTCTCCACTGTTTATCGTCCTGGAACATCATCCTAATATACGAATCATAAGAGTTGCTTGTCAAGTCCCTAGGGGACTTCCCATCCCTGCTCTCGACATCTGGATCGGCATTATAGTCCAACAACAGCCGGATACGCGCAGCTTTCTTCTTATCGGGAGTGCATGTAGAAAACGACCTCACAGCACAATACAAAGGCGTCCACCCTAGAGCATTGCGCACGTCGACTTCATCGCCTCTCTCCAAGAAGAGCCTCAGGATGCCCATGGGACCGTTGGCACTGACAAAATGCAATGGGTACCCGTCCAGGTGGTCTGGGAATGGCTCATGGATGTCCGCACCCTGGTGGACGAGAAAACGAACCATGCTCTCATGGCGGAAGCGAGTTGCTATGTGCAGAGGGGTGAAGTCGAAAGTTGTCGGGCATGACTCCCAGCGACGGGGCAAGGCTTGGACAAGGTTGCGGGGAGGCGAAGTGGAAGTATCCCGTGCATGTATGTTTGCGCCATGCGAGAGGGCCTTCCGTGCAATGGATATGCGGCCTGTGCAGGCTGCCCAAAATAGGGCTTGTGGATTGTCAGACTCTACATCACGGCGATAGAGGCAGTTGTTCAGCAGAAAGCGGAGATCTTGACAAGTTCGCGAGAGGCTGCTGAGGTCCTGTTTGCTTGGGATATGGTTCGCGATATTTAGAACCAATTCTGGAGGGCATTTGGAGAGGGACATGGTGAAGATAAGGCGTTTGAAGTAATATATGGGGATCTGGTGGTACACCAAGAGGCGATGATGAGGATACTGGTTTTTAGATATGCTTTATAATGAAAAGAGAGGACAGGAACATGCCAAATGTCTAGTTCAACCAGTGTCTTTTTGCAATAGAAGAAAAGTAGAAGATATAAAAGAGTTTGCGTGATTTAAAATATCGACACAAACTTTCAGTTGTCTAGAGAATGAAAGTGTAACTGCGCCTGGTGTTATCTCTGTAGCTTGTTATACTCGGCATCTCTTGTGTGATATTCAATGAGAGAGTTAATTCACTATTGAAGAAAGTAAGTGATAACACTTTAGGCATCATCTTGACCACTTACATGAGAGATTCCTGACGCACTTGGCTTTAACCAGCCAGCTATTGCCTGAAGCCTGAGGAGAGAGGAAATGAATGAGGAGGTGGATATATCAGAAAACGAATCTGATCTTGAAAAGAGCCTCAGAGTCGTGTGAAATAATGACTAAGACTGACTGGTTGAGCTTTCTCCAGACTATCAGGCTCATGCCGTCTGCAGCAAACAAACAAACAAACGCGGCCAAATCAGGTAAGATCCAAATTCTCAGTTGAAGTGTGAATGTGCCATATCATCATCGTCGAATGTGTATAGAGCAGTTCCCTGCATCTGCCTATACCCAACGCCTGCCGAGGATAACTCGCGTTCTCCCAAATCGATCATACCAAGGAAAGCGAAAACCCAAGGAAGAGGGATGGGTGCGGCGACGATGGCGAAAATCCATTTCGCAAACTTACCACGTCTTGGATTCTGTTGTCCAAAAGAAAGAGAGCACAAAGAAACTAGTATTAAGGAGAGAGAGGACAAAAACAAATGGAAGATAAAACGAAATCATATAATAGAAAGGAGTGGGTATCTCAGCGCTAGTGATATATAGAAAAATCGACATTCTGCAAAAGCGGTAAAATCGATAGGCAGAAAGATGATACTCATGTAGTAACCGCAGCAATAGTACCGAACAGAGAGGAATGATAAAAGAAGACAGAAAAACATATGAGATATCCCCCCTTGCCTCATCCCAATCCATACAGTATCAAGATGCTTGCACCACTTTATAACAGTTCATGCCGATGTAACTTCACCCTTCTTTCCTGGTTTTTTTTTTTTTTTTTTCTTCTTTTCTTTTCTTAAATCCCCTAAACGAAATACATAAGTAATGATATCAGGAAGTAAAAACAAATGAAAAAGTAAGAAGGGAAAGGAGAAAAATGAAAACCGGGTTAACTAAGGAAATAATTGAAATAATGACTGTCTATGAAACATATACAGAACCTCCGTGCCGCAGCAAAACCTCCCGCTACTACTGGGTATTAACAGCAACTCCAGCAACAGCACCAACTCCAGTCGAGGCCCCATCACCATTATCAGTCTTCATGCTCCCCGCATATCCACCCCCACTCATATCCGCTCTCATCTCCCTCAACGCAGCAATACGTCTCGCACACACGTCCTTCCGCTTAATAACATTACTCAACGCCTCGCTGGCCTGAATCAACCCATCAATACTGATGGCGTGGTTGGTCATTTGGTGGTTGATGTACGTATACACCGCCGCTGGCGTCGAGCATGCCGTCAGAAGTTGCTGCTCGTTAAGCTTAAGGAGTGCTACGGCGACTTGAAAGAAGAACGTGCTTCCTCCCCCACCGCCATCGTTGGTGTTTAATAGGTCGCCGTTTGGCAATGGGGTGGATCCGATTAGGTTGTTGGCTGGGTTGGAAAGCAAACTCGATACCGACACTGTACTTCCCGGCTTATTCTCTGGGTACGTCTGATTCTGGGCCTGGGATGTAGTCGACAGCACGGTCGTTGGAGCTGGCGTCGTAGCAGGCGTGTTGAGACAGAAAACAACGTCCCAGACTCGATACAGCGCCTCAGCTGATAAGCAGTCTGTAAAAACAGACAAAAACCACTGGAAAGTCAACGCTTCAAGTTCGATCCCCAGCTCGTCAAGATGCGCTGAGAGTTTGGGCAGGATCTCAGATACATATTGGCGAAGAATTTGCTGATCCGCACGCGATGCCAGGAGGCCATGGTCATAGTAGTGCGGGGGCAGAATATTCTCAATCAGCGATGCAAGGATCCAAAAGGCATCTTCGGCCGTAGGCATGATCAGAAGCAACGATCCAGCAATCAAATTCATGCCTTGACAATAACCCACATCGGGATTGCGGCGAGCGTAAGCCAAGAGAACATCATTCAGCTTCTGGACGCCAGGTCCTTCGCGGAAGAAAATGTTATCCGTCAGCGTTCGATGGATGTCCATCTGGATCTGCGCAACCACAGATGGATCAGTCTCCTGTTTCATGGTACCCTTTACAAGATCGTCATAATATCCGGGAATTCGCATTGCAGAAGCCCCACTGCACTCAGACCAGACCTTCGCACGATACGTGACGGGAATGCCTCCGAGAACGAGACTTTTGAATTCACGCCATTTAGCTCGCCCAACTTTACCCTTGTTCCCAAGTCCAGATATGCCAACAACTTCTCCATCTGCGAGTGACACTTCAGGCATTGCAAGAGATACACTTGGCCGGTCCGACGCTTCTCCCTCCTTTCTGCGTTCCGCGCGGACTTTCCGCATAAATTCATTCCACTTAACCGTACGGTCTCTTTGAAGAGAATCATGCAGCTCAGTGAGCCGTTCCAACAGTAGTCTCACAGGTTCCTGCTCAGAGGCTGGAACTGGTACAACAGATGCATCGTTTACTGAACATGCGAACTCTGCGTCGTTGGAAACAACCTGAGACATAAGCACAGCAGCTTGGGGCGTAGAATTGACAACGGATATGGATCCGCCTTTCTTAATTGTGACAGATGATGAGCGCTGTTTCCTTTCGGGAGCACTAGCTACAGCGACAATAGGACCTGCGGCTGGAGTATGGGAGAGCAGCTCAGTCGGTTTGGTAGCTACTTTTAAATAATCTTGCCATCGTCTAACAGGAACGGTTCCACTCTCAGAATCTTCAACGAGTGTTGGAGAAGACGGAGACTCCTTGCCATTTAGTTCCAGCTTTATGGTCAGATCTGGATCACCCCGGATTCCCTCAAGTGTTCCTGGGATGCCTGCCCGCTTCGAATTGCGGTTAGACCCATCAGCTTCTCTCTGCCGCTTCTTCCTCCTTTGGTCGTAAATAAAACCAAACCGGTCTGTCAGAAGGTCCCCTGGTTGATAATTTCTATAGAGGTGTGATAGTGTTGGTGGTCGGGATTCCAAAGGCAATATAGCATCCATCTCCACAGGACCTAAATTTGTTGGATTCTCGTCTCCAATCCTAGATTCAGGTGTAGCGGTCTGTCTCGGGCCGGAAAGGCCATCACGACGAGGCCCGGAGAGGCTGGTTCTAGAATCTCGTACACTGGAGTTAGTGTGTGATTTTAGGGACCTTGGTGGCCTAGAGACGGTGCCATTTAGACGTTTCAAAGCCGCAATGGCAGACCCGCTAACATTTGATGATTCCGTAGCCGAAGACTGTCTGGCCCTAGAGCTTGGTGTATTGGGCCGGGTGTGGCTTTTGGTGCTTCTGGAATCAGAGACTTCTTTACCAGCTTGAGGATTACCTGCAAACAGCTTCACAGTCCACGATGCTAACGACCTCGACGACTGACGAGAATTAGCACTTGAATCATCCCCATTTCTTAACTTCGTCACGGTTTTGGTATCCGGGGTAAAAGCAGCTGGATTCACACCATGATGCTGAAATAATTGTTCGTCCAAACCCTTCCGACGGTTGACAGATGAACTAGGCATGTGCAATAAATCATCACTGTCATCATGTGCACCTAGGTCACTCATGATGCTACTTGCTTTGCTCGTCTTTTGACTAACAGTGGCACTCCCCCAAATGTAACTCTGCCAGCCACGAAACAACGTGGGTGAAGTTTTCTTAGTCGATCCCACACTGGGGCTTCTGGGCTGAAAGACATCATGGCGACCGGGACGAATGGTGTCACGAAAATCCGCATCTCCTTTGCCATATTCTTCGGGCGACGATCTCAGCACCTGAATTCCCACATCGTCACTCATGGCCTGGTTCACCATATCGTCTATCGTAGGCGACACCTTTCTTGCACCACTTGATGGACCGAGACTTTCTGTACTGTCGTCGATCGATTTCTCCACCGGGTTCTCGAGAATGTAGAGTCTATTTTCGATCGTCTGGTTGGATACCTGTGCCTCACGAAGCATTTTCTTCAATTCTTTCTCCCTCTCATCCGCACGCAGCCGGATCGAGGAGATCTCAGCATCTCGTAGTGCAAGGTCCCGAGCAAACTGCCGCACCAGTTTCACTGCGCCAGTCCTTGCAACGATGCGCTCGATGTGGTCATCATTGGCAAGGTGGAGCGAGCCCGGAACATTCCTCGACGCCACTGAGTCATTAAAGAGCGCACTGCGACCAGATATTTGTGGCAACGAGGTCATCAAACCTTCCAGTGTGGCTTTGCGACCACGATCAGCGCTCCGGCGGGAATTATTTTCCGTCAACAAGGCCTGACTGAGCGCGTGATTCAATGCTGGTTCACCTCGAAAACCCTCTGGGGAAGTATCGGGGGAGAGGGAAGGAAACGAGGTGAGGTCTGTCTGCGGGTTGGTAGGCGAGGAGGCAGAGAGTCGTTTGAAGGCTTTCGAACGGACGGGCTTGCCTCTATGGCTTTTCTTAGAGGAAGTAGACGTTTCGGAAGAGGAGCGTTGGACACTGGTGGGTGGATCGAGAACCTCAGCCATGGCTATGAAGCTATCGAAGCAACAGGCAGCTCGGGACAGGTGCGTGTCTTCATGAAGACAGAGATTGTCGTGGTATATTGGTTGTGGGGATATGGATGGACTGAGAGAGGTTTTGAGAAGGAAAAATAGAAGCCGTTGTGGAGGAGCTTTGACAAAGTATGCTTCAGGCTATATGTTGAACATTCCTCCTTCCGAATCTTCAACTGTATCATGTGATATGATATAACGGAGAAACCTCCCTGTTGACTCGGAAAGCCAAAGACAGCACGCGACTGTCAACAAGCTACCTGAGGTCTACCAACTCACGCGAGGGGAGTTTAGCCCGCAGTGGAAATGAATGGTGCTGGGAGGGAGAAAAACACGGAAAGAAGTGAAAAGTGGTATTTTGCAAAGCGAGATAAACAGATGTCTTGCTGTAAAATAGAAGAGAAGCACGGAGATGCCAGCAGCAGAAGCTGGAAAATAATATCTCCGCAGCAAGGCGAGGTGAATCAAGGATCACAAAGCTCCCCCGGTGTAAGGGTGGTAAATATGGGCGAATCTCTCCGCTGGAGGTGGTGGTGATGATGAAGATGGAAGAAACTCGCGAACCCGGCGATGATGCGGGCAAAATGCAAGTTGACGCCGCCAGGCCCAATCGGGATTAGTCAGGCTTATAACCCAAAACCTGCCGTGACCCAGTGCCAAGATATTCCGGATGATCTATTATCCGCCACCAAATACGGACTGTTTGCTCTGTTTGCACTGTTTACGCTCTCTCCCAGACGGATCCAAACCTTTGCTGGCAGCATCATGTGACACTGTTATGTAGCCGGAGCTTCCAATGGAAGGTTCCCATTATTCACTAATTCGTTAATGTTTGCAATTAACCAGTTAGCTAACTAGTTAACTAGTTAGTTCGTTAGTTAGTTAGTTATTATGCTCAGGTGACAAAGACTCACCAGTTGGCAGTTGACAGTTGGCAGTTGGGCAGTGGGCAGTTGGGCAGTTGGGCAGTTGGTGGACCATTGATTGATGATCATTTGCTGCTTCCACTGAGTTTGAGTCAGTCAAAGGGCAAAACGATTAATTAATAACTGTGACAGTTGACCACACGTCTTCCGCAGCATATTCGTGAAAGCATCAAACATCCATGGATCATCCCAGTCGCGAAACACTAGTGGCTCTCGTCTCGATTTCGGGATCTGGTCTGCAGCGGAGCCTGAATATCACATCCACGAGTACTGTTTTGTATTCTTATTATTTCCTCCAGATCTCATGAGACAATCCTAGATTGGGCAATATGAAACAGCTCCCTACCAGAGCTAGGCCAATCATGCATATCGGATCCAAATCTTCGGGTCCAGTCATCTTACAGCCGCCCTCCGCGCAAGCCCTGTCATCATTTCTAGGCCACAGATGATAGAAGCTGCCAACTCCTCTTTTCCCCCGAAAGCAAATGGAAGGATGGATCCCCTTTGCGGAAAACTCCTAGCTGCAGCCTGCCGTAGAGAAAGGGCAGGAGACTTGAAGAAGAGGTAGCCTGTTCATATTTACCGTGCACGGTCCGGAAATGCTGTCCCAGCTTGGATTTATGAACACAAGGAGGAGGTGAAAAGTCGGCCACAAGCGAGTGCCAAACAAGACATTTGCAATCATACAACAGGCAACAATGGTAAATTACACAGGGAAACGGGCCAGACCAAACAATCCTGTTATGGTTGCGGGATTCGCTTGTTGAAAATATATTATGTAACCCGCAATTTCCGGAGGTTGCCAGCAACCATTGTTAGGGTGGTTTTGTTATCCACAAGGAGCCGTGGAAGCTATCCCGGCAAACTGTGTAATTGGTGGTGGATTAAATATTATTCCATTCACTCGGTATTAACTGGGGAATCTGCTGTGTCTTTAACGATCAACAAGGATAACGTTGAGGAATCGCGGGAAAACAACCAAACTTCTGATTGCCATCATCAACATCCAGATCTCTATCATTTATGAACATCAACATGCATCCATTATCCCAAGGTTCCAATAGACACAGTGTTCCAAATGGACCAAGCCTTGCAGTGTTCATTGATGGGGTCTCCGGCGGCTAACCTCCAGAACCCGTGACTTTATACCTCGGGATCTTTGTGACTGCAACGTCCGAAAAGCCGCCTCTTGCGGAGAAAGAATAGCGAAGAAACAGCTTCAACGAGATGGATGGCTGAGATAGGGAGAGTATAGAAGCAAGTTGTCCGTACTCGTACTCAGTCCTCCGTGATTCACTTGTTAACTACTTCTAATATTTCCAGAGTATCAGGCCTCAATGACAACCGAGGATTCCTCGATAACTACGATCAATCCTGCTCTCACTATAGTTTAGTGTCCGCCCCCTCGCTTCCCAGAATGACCTCCGTAGCAAAACAGCGGCTCCAAGCTGTCAGCAAGCAACTGATTGAAGGTATACCAGATGCCGGCACCTTCGAGAACATCCCTCGAATTCGCGAGGTGGCCCCAGATTCTGTAGGCCAGTAAGTTTTTACAGCTTATGAATGTCCAGATTCGCAGCTTCATAGCCGAATCCAATTGTTTTTCCTACCTAGGAGAGGGACTCCGCTTACACGTAGGTAAAATATAGGAGAGTCAAGGGAAAAGTTGTTATTGTAACTGGTATGTGTTTATCATCTATTAAAACAAAATCCAACTAAAAAAGACAAGAAAAAATAAGTAACTTTCATTCTCCCTCCCAATCCACAGGAACAAATTCTCCCATCGGCATTGGCCGAGCCAGCGCGCATCAATTCGCCCGTAATGGCGCAAAGGCAGTGTTCATTTGTGACGTTTCAGATTCGTATCTGGCCGTTCACAAACGAGAGCTTGAATCGCTCTACCCGGACGTCGACATCCTTGCCCGGCAGTTCGATGCCGGCAACGAATCACAAATCAAAGCCGTAGTCGATGAGGCTATAGAGAAATACGGCCAGTTGGACATCATGTTCGCCAACGCTGGCATCGCCGGGGCGCAAAAACCACTCACAGAAACCACCGGAGAGGAATTCATGCAAACTATGGAGATCAATGCGAAAGGGTGAGTAAACCAGACGAAATCAAGAGAAAACGCAGACTACCCTACCTCTTGCTAGTCCTCCTTATTTTATTATTTTTTTTTTTATTATTATTATTTTTTTTTCCAAGGAAACATTTACTGCCTATCTATCCCTCTATATACCTCTATACCCAAACTAATCACAACAACTCCCTTTCAAAGCCCTTTCCTCGCCGCCAAATACGCTTCAATCGCCATGCAAAAAACCTCACCCTCCAAACCCTATCCATCAGGTAGCATAATCATGACCGCCTCCGTTGCCGGTCTGCGCTCCAATGCCGGCTCAACAGACTACTCCGCCAGCAAAGCTGCTGTCGTCTCCATAGCGCAGACCTGCGCCTTCCAGCTCGACGGCACGGGCATTCGCATCAACGCCCTCTGCCCAGGCTTGGTCGAGACCAATATGACGAAGCACGTATATGACATGGCTAGGACGAAGGGTACGGAGAGGAAAATTGGTCAGCTTAATCCGTTGGGGAGGGGCGCGGTGGCGGACGAGGTGGCGCGTGTTGCGCTGTTTTTGGGAAGTGAGGAGAGTAGTTATGTTAACGGGCAGGCTTGGGCGGTTTGTGGGGGGCTGAGTGCTGGGCATCCAGTTGTGCCTGGGAAACTGGGTTGAGTTGAATGAGGGTTGATGTTTGACTGACTGTTGAGATGAGTCTATATTTGGGAGTGGTTAGTTTCGGTTTCAAAGGGAGATTGTGTGTTGTTTTCCTTTTTGTTGTATATATATACCTGACTCATTATGTGTGACATCCCGAAGGCTGAACATCTCTATCTGATGGGTCCTTGGCCACTGGATGCCTTGCTGTTACAGACAGAGCCCATGAAATAATCTGGAACGAAAACGTCACGTTGGTAACATTTAAAAACAGATAATATAGAATAATGAATTGGTATATTATAAAAGTGTAATTCAAATATACACAGATATTTGATCCACAAAAATACAACAGCTCAAGTAGCCAGCCCCCTTTCGCCTCCAATTCCCTACACAAAACCTGCACTTTTTTCCCATAACGCCCAGAAGAACGCCATCCACACCCCCTCCTTCCCTCCTTATTCCCTCCCTTCCCTCCCCCTCCCCTCACCAAGCTCCTCCTCCCCACCCTCATCATTTCCCCTCAGATACACCTCTTCTAGCATAAACCTATCTTCGGGTAGTTCCTTAGGAGCCCACGGAAGAACATAGAAAGTGGGAAACTCAAGCACTACCCGACTTCGTAGAGCGTCTGATAACGTGACTGATTCCGTAGCGAGCGGGATGAGGACGGGCACGCGAGAGCGGGATTGTGGGCGGTGGAGGTAGAAATAATGGTTCTGTTTTTGTTGTGGTAAGGCTGGCGGGTGATTTGAGACGAGATTTGGATCGTGGTCATCAGCAGTATTGTCCGTATTGGCAATATCGGTCCGGTTTGCTGGGGATATGGCGCGGTTTGTTTCTAGATTTGCAGATTCCTTTGGATCCGGATTCGGATCTGGGGTTGGGTCTTGTGGTATCGGGGATAATATATGGAGGTGCGGTGTTTGACTGTCTGATGGTTCGTCCTGGGAGTTAGGTATAGAGGATCTTGTGTCGTTTGCCGTAGAGGGTGGAAGAGGTGGTCCGTTATAAGAGTCTAATTTTCGTTTCTTTGCTGGTGAAGGTGTAATCATTTCCTCCCCATGCTGCTTCGACAGAGACGTCCGCGAGAAGGCTACTGCGACGGCTGTGGACTCGAGACATTTATTCAATGCTTTCTGACTCTGGTGGTCATCCACCAGTATCCATTCGACGGTCCAGCTAAGGCATTTGTGTCTAGAAAATGTAAAGAATACCCATGTCAGCCCTGGACTTAACCATCAGTTCATCCCAGAAGGTCTAAAAGTAGTAACAGAGAATAGGATGAACAATAAACATACTTTTTATGCCAATAAGACATATTTTGTTTCCCCCTTGACATTCCCTTCGGAGCCCTAACCACCTTTACCCCAGCGTTCTCAACTCCCCTCAATAAGGCCACCTCCCCCTTTTTTACGGGCTCTGTCCGCTTTTTGCAACGCTGGTTACTGTCACCATCCTCCCTCACCAGTTCAATCCCTCTATTCTCCGCATCCCTTTCCGCCCTCTCGACATACCTCTCAATGCCACTGATGAAGTTGAAATCCTTATCAAAGGCCGCGGGCGTCGCTAACTCGCTGCGTTTTAGGTATGCGGCCGGGTCTCGCACGCCGGAACACTGGGACCAGAGTTTATGCCGCTTACTGCAGGGTAGGGAGCAGGTCGGGGTTGCGCAACGAGGACATTTATATTTGGGTGGATTGGTGCGACTGTGAGAGATTGCGTTAGAAGTTTCCGAATAATTGATATTCTTTTTTTTTAAAAAAAAAAAGAAGAACAAAAAAGATTCATCTGCAATGTTGGGCGGGTTTTACCAAATGGTGCACAGCTCGCTGAGAGACAATTCTTTTACTTCCGACATACCTGAAGAACGGATATTGTCTTCTCGGAGGATCGGAGGGAGGGGGATATAACCCAATCGTCGTGCAGCCCTCAAACCACCCCTCTGTATAGATCGATGATGTTGTTTCTCACCACATCTTCAAGCACGCCTGTTCATGGAATAAACATTTCTCCGGCTTATCGATAAAGTCTCTCAGGACATATAAATGCTTGGCAGCAACCATATCGGGGCTAGTGCATTTCGGGACCAGGAGTTTCTTTTTTCCCGTCGGCATCTTAGAGAGTTAGACTTGATACGACTATATCTATACTTGCGCCACACAGCGTTACAATGGACGCAAGATGCCGATGACAATTTCTGAGTGAGCATCGAATGGCAAATGTCGCAAAGGCGGGGGTTGGGGCCATCTATCTGTCTCGATCAGTGTTTTGGCCGATTTGCAGCTCGTATTTGCTTTTTGTAGAACGAAATCATAATGCTGTCTCAATGAAGATAATTCTGAGACTTTTATTCAAATTGGGATTCTTAACAAAGGATACTATTTGCCGTTCCAAAAATACTGCATATTATGCCCACCTGGGGGAACATCTTGAAGTACGGAATACTTTTTGTGTGAAAATGAGGACTAGAACCTCGATTACGGTTACCTCTCCCCTCACTTGATCCCTGGATCTAGATCTATAGAAGGAGCGCCTAAATCCCAACCATTGAAAGCTTGAAGGATTATTTCGATCGTTGGAAGGCGAATCTTCCTTGAAAGTCGCCACGCGTAGTAGTAGTGGATGCATCTATCCGTGCCATCCTCGGGCAATAAATATGTCCTAATGTCTTATCGTTGCCTACAGAATTATTTCCGAGAAGTAGCTGCGCACCAACCTCGCAACTAAGATTGGCGACTAGCAGGTTATTTTGATATATGCCATGTACGTAATAATCATGGTGTCAAAGAAGATATGCATGATACTACTCCAGGACATGGTGCATGAACCCGATATGCTGTGCTCCCTTTCTCTTTTCCCTTGGAACAACCCTCGTGCGGGACAAACGCTAGTTGGTAAAGCTTGAATGGCACGAGATGATAAGGGTCTAGATCATCACTAGTTCTGGAGTGGAATCGTGCTTTTTGGTGGATAGATAGGAGCTAACTACCTATGGATAATCTGTAGTAGCTGGGAAGGTTTGGCTTGTTTTGACGGAAAGCCAGCTCGGCCGGGAACCCATCCGATGGACATTCATTATTGGAATGAATATGCGAACAGCCGGAAAAACTGATAAATAGACTGCGGCGTGCACGCATACGCATTGCAAATTAGAATTACGAACCGTTCGCCCTCAGGCGTTGATGCTGACAGACCACTTTTTTAGGAAATGGTGATATTGCTACCGACATGAGCAACAGCATCAAACTTCGATATTGAGCGTCAGATATGAGGAAAAGAAATCATGCAATTTCGAATCAAGAGATAAAGAGTACGTCACATGCATGAAAGGAATGATCCGTCGGAAGCACTGAATCTTACGTATTCCCAGAGGCTAATGGTAATGGAGCAGATGTTTGTTACGTGCCATCTACCTCCACTAAGTTGGCTGGGCTCTTCTTGCGAGCACGGATGACGAGAGGCCACAGGCAGGAAAAGAGATGTAAGGAAATGAATGAGGAATGGATCGAAGTTCTCGATGATTAACGACATTAGTGACACCTCATAATAATCCATAGCACTTTGCTGACGGGTATTCCTCCGATATGTTGCTGATATCCATGCAACCTGTAAGAGCACATCAGACGTCAGACCTCATGGTTTCGAGTTATGCACATCGTATATATGCCTCCGGTGATCGCTCATACATGGTGGCAGAAGCGTGCAGGGATCAGGAAAAAGAATTAAACAATCATCAAATCTTGAAGCAATTCAGGCTAAGGAAGTAGAGGGGCAGAAGGAAATCTATCCTCACGATGATCAGCGGGTAAGAACCTGAAACCGGAAACCTGATCCTCTCAAGTTGCGTCAAGAGAGGAGTTTCGAACGAAACTACCCTGGAAGTGTGTAGGTTAAGGAGCGGAAGACTTCTTCCCTTCGGTTTGTTCTGGGAAGGTTTGGGATTTCGTGATATTCATGTCTTTATTCTGAGGATATGCATGATGGCCCACGAGACCTCGATAACAACCACAGCTAAGGTAAACCATTCTCCACATCACGGTAAATCATAATAATGGATACAAAGAAACGCACGGAATAGGTCAAATAATTAGAAGGAGAGAATATCGATCTTCCAGAGCAACAACCAATCGGAGTGCTTGAGACGCTGTACCATTCTCGCCTGTAGGCAAAGCTTGTGTGTTTTGACCCCCTATCGGCTTGGCTGGAGGGGGGATTTCGGAGAATTTATTGGGCAGTGAATACGATAAGAAAAGGATTCCTGTTTCAATCCATTTGGCAGCAAATGATATCTTATTGAGAGCCATATGATCATCATGATGTGATAGGACAATGAGAGAGAAGAGATGTGTCAGGAAAAATGAACCATGCCGAGAGAAGTATTGAAATATTGGATGAGATTCGAATTTACTATTGGTGTGTGATTGGCTTCGAGATTTCTTTTCATTCCCTTAATATTTAGTCGGTGGGACATTCTGCTTTGGTTTAAGAATACAATACAAATTTCATGAAATTAGGCAAAGGCCAAGGGACAGGAGCCTTTCTCTCCAACCTGTCAGGCTTGAACGATCTTGGTGGATTACGTATCATTAGTGGTGATAGATAGCTGTTTAGGAAATAGGATGAAAACAGGATGAAATCAAGGTTCGGTACGGGTTCCCCGTGTAAACTTACCAGTGTTTCTCTTTCGCCCACAATAGCGGTTCTCTAACTTGGATAGTTAAACTTGACTGGAAGTTTCTGGCATCGTAATCAATGCACCATACGAGCCTGCCAGCCAGTGACGGGGACGGGAACAGAGGAGATTAAGGGTGAATCGAGGTGTATTTTCAAAGGGTGAGCTGATTGGAGAAAGACAAATTCATGATTTTGGAAGAAGACCTAATATAAGAAGAGATGTGATTATCATCTATCCGCGGCGTGGACACCAACAACGATATCATCAGGGTCTGAATAGAAGGGTTTACGAATGGTATCTTTAAGGTGGTCTTTCCGGACACGCTATATTGGGATGGGCG